CTACTACTACTACTACTACTACTACTACTACTACTACTACTACTACTACTACTACTACTACTACTACTACTACTACTACTACTACTACTACTACTTAATTACACCCTTAGCATCACTTCCTCTTCCGGTAATCCCGTCTCTGCGCCCGGTCTTTGGCATCTGGTGCTCGTATCCTCTTTCAGGTCCAGCTTGTTGCTGTCTGTCTATCTGTCTGTCTGCTGTCTGTCTATCCAACATCATCAATCTCCATCTCGCGCTCTCTCTTTCTCTCTCTTACTCTCGCGTCACTCCATGTACCCCTTACACCAACCATACCACGGCCGCTTTCTTCCATCGCACCCCCCCTATCGGCCCGACTGCTTGCTGCTGCTGCTGCTTGCAGCTTTTGCTCGTCCGGCACCTCGGCCGTCGATCGATAATTAGTCAGTCTTCCTCCTCCCCCTAATACCTCCTACTACCCCTTGGTTGCCAGTCTTTTCTAGAAATTTGTGGGAATCTGCTTTCCTTTCCGGGAAGTTTCACGGAACTAAATTTATCATTCATACATACCTACATACATACACACAGCCAGCTCTCTCGTCGAGATGTTCTAGTGTGGTGTGTTGTGGCGGGCTACTTTTACGCGCTGGTGGTGTGGTTGTGTGTCGTGTCGTGAGTTGTTGTTTGTGTATCGGTGTTGTTGTTATTTCTGAATGAAAGTAGGATTTGGATTTGAGAGATTTGGCTTGGCGGTGCTTGTGCTTGTCCGGCGAGTGATTTACTGGTTAGGGTATTTTGTCTGTTGATGGGGTTCGTAGACTGCTGTTGCTGTTGATGGAAGATTATGATGTGAGACTGCCTGCCTGGATGGACGTACGTCTTTGTCTACCTACCTAGCTATCTAGCTATCTAGCTATGGATAGTAGATGCCTGCTATCAGGTTACGACTGCGTATGCACTCACCACACAGCCAGCCTCTGCACCTCGCCTTTTCTAATTACAACAACAACAACACACATACATACATACAAACATACACCCTCTGCCCCCCAGCACACTCCCCTCTCTCACCCAAAACCCCCAAACCATCAAAATAGACCACTACCCCTCTGCACCCACACGCGCGGCTCCATCACCACCACCAACCACAGCGGTTCCTTCCCGCCGCCCACTCCCTTTCCCTCCCTCCACGCTTCCACGCGCCATGATGCAAGGGGCACAAAACAAAACCCCCCCTTTCCTTGGTTGGGGGCGGGGGCCAGGCACGAGTATGAATAAGTCTGTCGTTGTCGTTTTCAGACCCCATCGACCCCGCGAGGTATATATATTTGTTGTTGTTTTTTGGACCCTAGGCCCCCAGGATGTCTGTGTGTAGTGTTTGGGTAGCTAGTTGTCTGTCTGTCTATCTAGCTAGCCAGTTATCTGTCTATCTAGCTATCTATAGCGCGTAGTGCCGTATTGCGTATTGTCGTAGTACGCGTTGCATACAGCAGTGCTCTTGCCGCGCCCGCTAGGCAAGCGCTGGGGAGGGAATGGGCTTGCAGCGTCGTGCCCTTGCAGTCTGTTTCTGGGTCATTGGCATGGGAGGAGAGCGGTGTGGTTTGTTTGGGTATGAGTGTGTATGTGGTGGGAATTATATTGGGGATTATAATGGGGAGGGAGGTTGGGATGAGGATTGGGATGAGAGGAATAGAATGAATTTTCGTTCTCTAATGCGGCTACTTGGCTTATGGGATGTGTTACTGGTTTGACATGAAAGGTTGAGTGGGAGTGGGAGTTGTGTATTTGCCGTGTGGGCGTGTGCTGGACTTTTATAGATAGATGGATGGATAGATACGTAGACGGATGGAAACCCGTACCACGCACTTTGGAGTTGTAACCTATAGGTAAATACGTACATACATACATTCAGATACTATGTTAACAACGCCACCACTACTCCCGTGCGCTATTCCTGTGCCGGTTCGCGCGTGTGCTTGCTTTTTTTGTCTCTATGTATGTACTATGCATATGCATATGATATACATAGGATATAGCTAGACATGCATATATAGTACCAAGACATTAGCCTCGGGACACGTCGCTGCCTGAACTGCGCCTGATTATATGCCTGATATGTTCCTAGATTGATGTGGCCTCATTGTACGTACTATGTATATGTATGTGTTTATGCATTCATATATACGATGTATGTATTTATATGCCATACGTATATACATGCTACATACCGCACGCGGAAGGATGTAGGGCAGGATGGATCAATCACAGTCAAGACAGGATCAGAGACACACTGGCTAATAACACATGATGCACAAGTAGAAAGTTGGGACAAGAGACCGTGAATGAAATTGTGTTTTTTGTCTTTTGTTGTGGTATGTTGGTTGCGTGATACTTGCATCCTATTCTGCGATTCATAGAGAAGATATTGTCTGAACAAGTCCTCTGTGCGATTTCTCGTGCTATTCTCTCTTACACCAGGCTTACAGGCCAAGGCCATACGTATACGCTGCCATGCCATGGCATATATCCAAAGAATCTCCCAATCCCTCCATCCACCACTCACTCACTCACCCACTAACACTCACAAATCCCGCTGCAACGCCCTCAATCTCCCCCATCCTGCCCTTCTCCCGACCACCAACCCGCTCCCCAACCCACCCCCTCGCCTTCTCCACGACCAACTCCCAACTCTCCTCCAGATCCGCCAGCCGCCTCTCGCAGAACAGCACCACAACCATAGTCACAAATACCGCTATATCCTCCCCATCCAGTCCAGCCTTCTGTGCCCCGTGCTTGATGGCGGCATCGGTTGTGCCGAGGAGCTCGAAGAGCGCGGGAGAGGGGGTGAAGGAGCCGGTGTAGGTCTGGTGTGCGATAAGGGCTGCGAGGATGGTTTCGGGGGTCTGATGTGGTGGTGGTGGTGGTGCTTGGTTGTGGGCGGCGGGCGTTTCGTAGGAGCTCAATTGCGCGAGGTAGTTCGCTGTACGTTCCCTTGTAGGGGGTGGAGGAGGCACACTGCTAGAGACCTGGGATCCATAGTCGAGAGACGCAAACGAGCTTAGCGGCGCTTGTTCTGCATCTGATGCGACGTAGCTGGATGGGGTGAACGAGCGTGCGCAGAACGGGGATATGCTCGAGTAGCTGCGTGAGAACGAACTAGGTGACCTGCTGTATTGTGCCTGTTCCACTACTGGGGAATTGTTGGGCTCCTCTACCTCACACATCGCCTCCAAATCGCACGAGTCTGGATCTTCGACTTCTGCCAAAAAGGCTCCACGCACCCTCTCTGAGCCGCGGGAGAATTGGTTAGTAGGGGTCTCTATGTGAGGATAAGGGGGCCCGGGGCGCTTACTGCTTTGACGATTGACAATGCTGAAGGCGGGTTCTCGTGAAGATGCCGCTTTGCGGGCCGCACGGCTTGCTAGCGCCATTCGAGGCGCCATGCAGCCTGATGGAGGGTAAGAAGGTGTTGTTTGTGGTGTGTGTTGTGTGGTACTGGGCCCTGCAAGGACGTCGAGGTCAGCATCGTCTTCGTCTGGGAGAGACATACACGCCGAGGATGACATATCGCGCTGGTATTGTTCCAGGATGGCTTGGGGTATCATGAAGTGCATGGACTGGAGGGCTGGGGCAAGTTGGGTTTGCTCATGATCACGGTCCCGGGGTGTCGCGTGGGATCTTGTGTCCTTGGGCTCACACTCATCATCCTCGTCGTTCTCCTCCAAGGCCACGAAACTGCACCATTTGCCGCCGATCTGGAACTGTACCCCGAGACGGACAGCCTCGCGCTCTATCATCTCATCGTAGCGGCTCTCATAGTGCTCCTTGAGCGCCTTGCCAGAGTCCTGATGCTTGGCGACAGAGAGCCAGCCTCGGCCTTCTTCGAGCTCTTTGACTGCTTTCTTACACGCGAGTTGGTGGATGCTTTCTCCGGGCTCATTCAGGACTGAAATGGGGATCTCGAGTTCAAGCGGGCCGTGCTTTGAGGTGCCGCGTAAAACTACGGCTTTGGGTACTTTCTGGCAGGCTGATGGGGACATGAGTAGGTATACCGTGGTACGGTTGAACGGGAAGAGAGGTGGGATGATTGACGGCGCCTGCAGGAGTTTTGGCGTCTCGAGAATCGGCAGATGAGAGAAGCGTGATTGGCCTGAAGGGTCGTCTTCGGGCTTAGGATCGTCTTTGTCCAAGTCCATTGTGTCATCGAACAGTGAGATGGCTTTCTATGTGCAATTTGTCAGTTCTCGAAACCGCGGAGAATACTACTTCGGAAGTACTTACACTCTCGGCTGCAGGTTTTTCTGCCTTGTCTAGCATCAGTTCGTCAAGCCTGACATGGAGTGAGTCTGCTACACGCTCGACGATCTCAAACTCTTCATCTCCAACATCCTTCTCCACGTCCTCATACTTGACCTCCAGGGTATAGTCTGTCACGTGCGGTGACAATGCACCCTTCAACATGCGGACAACCTTACCATCTAGCTTCTCTTCGAGTCCAACAGCCTGGCAGAAGCCGTTGCCTGCTCGAGCAACACCTTCAATGAGAGAATGTGAAACGTCGTCCCCTATGCCCAAGGTGAAAACTCGAATCGGCTGCTTCTGCTCACTGATCTGCTCGTTCAGGAATCTGAACAATGAGTCTTGATCCCAGATTTCACCATCTGTCAGCAACAAGATTTCCAGAGAAAGGTCTTTGTAACGACGCTGGACAGTCTCCTTGATAGGTGCCAGCATTTCGGTGCCGCCATAGTTGGCGCTGAAAACTTCGAGATGCTTGATGGCTTGATCAAGGGAGTCTTGGCTGTAGGCCTTGCTCTTGTCAAATAGGAAGCTGCACCGGTCTCCGAAAGAGCATATGTTAAATTTGACACCAACCGGAAGTGATTTGACAAACACGCGCAACGCATCTGCTGTTTTCTTGATCTTGCCGCCTGCCATACTTCCACTCCGATCAACCACGAAGACTACTTCTGGACGCTCAGACGGGAGCGAAAACTTTGGGACCAAGGTTGTCATCAAAGCTCTGTAGCCAGGCAGGGTCGGATGTCTCTCCAAGATGGCTCTAGGTGTACCGGTCTCTTTTGCGACTACTTGGAGGACAAAGTCTTTGTCAAGCTCCGCTGAACCAAGGCTGAGTGATGCTGAGGCAATGTGGTGCTGTGGGGCAGCATCGAGATCATGACTGGTTGTACCCATGTTGACTACGATGGGATGCGAAGGTGATCTAATCGACTTGATGTATGTTCCTTCTGCAACAGTAGCATCCACGGTGATTTCGATACCACTCTTGGCTGTGATGTTTTCGGCACCAGGTGCGAGTGGGAACTCAGTTGACCCGTAACGTGGGGCAATGCTGGTAGGTATCGTAAAGCGGATACCATCGACTTCAGCATCATGTTTGAGTTCACCAAGATACGTGATTTCGACATTGATATGTGCACCAGCCGGAACATTCCCAACAGTTGTAGTAAAGACATCAGCGGCATCTGGCAGCTGCTCGAACAAGCCAGCCGTCTCACCTCTCTCAACGGCGTCTTTGTAATCTTTCCGTGCCCTCGCCTTCTCCTTGACGACCCCCCTGATGACCCGGTCGTTCACGTGACAAGTAAACCCAACAACGCTGACGCCATCGAACAGGGGGAAAGTGTAACGTATCTCGTCGATAGCGTTATCCTTGGGGTTGGCGAACTCCTGGGTCAGCACAGTCCGCGAGGTAGACGATATGATGTGTGTATACGCCTTTACATTGAGCTGAGGAAGATAGGAGCGTGTTGCCCAGCCACCATCGCTCGGGGTGAGGTAGTAAAATCCACAGCAGTGGTCGGAAGTGCCGTAATACCTATTGCTATAGGTTGGCCTGGCTGTCTGCTTGGTACGCGCCATGTTCAGTACTTGCAACCAATGGTCAGCACGACTGAGCACGATAGTTGATGTATCGAATCCCTCACAATGTTGACTTTGCGGTGTTTTGAAGCGAGTGGGGCTGTGCAAGCGGGTGATTTGGCCAGGTTCGGAAAATAAGGCTGAGTTTGATGAGATGACTCTGAGGAGATACCAAAATGGTGTTTGGGGTCTGAGTTGTTGTAGACTGGTGCATCAATGGAATAAAATGCGGGGAAGATGCGTATTTATCTTCGAGACCTCGTTGTTGCCTGCTGAGGAAGAGGTGCCTGGTAACAGTCTACAACACCAAGTGACCAATCAGAGCCACACTTGGCCATCCCAGAACGATGTAAGCCAGGCTTGATTAGGCATAAGAGTCATCATAGTCTTGCACTAGGCAGGATTTGGGTCCCGTCTCGCAATGGCCTAGTCGTGTAGACGTACGACGAAGGGAAGCCATGCCAGCCGTTTGGTCTTTACTGTTCATAGCATAATCATGTCAAGATCCGGTTTCGATTTCACAGTTTGTCAAACATGAGCTGGCTGGTGAGGTTTTGGATCGTTTGCTTGCAAGCGAACTTGGCACTGCAAGGCAATAAGGCAGCGATGTACCACGAGTGAAATCGCCTCCTTCTACTGGTGTCAACCTAGTTTGCACTGTATGGATTATGCTTGATGTTTTTTATTGGTAAATGTAATGCGAAAAAGTTCTCTCGTCACCTGTCCAAAGTCGTCTGCAAAGCAAAGCGCTTTCGTATTCCTGTAGCCTGAACGAGCCGACATGTCACAATTTCTTGCGCTTCACCCTAGCTCTCTATCGTTTCTTCTCTCGCCCTAAGCTTACGAATCATAACAAGAAAACTTCCCTTTCACCAGCCTTCCGTGCATTTACGGACGCCCCTCCTCTCCATCGATCAAACTTCTGCTTTACCTGCATACACTAAACAGCCACCCCTGAGCCTCATACAGAATTCCCCAATTCACTACTTAGTGTCTAGAGTTCCGTCTAGCATGGGACTCCCTATAATATGATGTTGTCTAGAGATGGTGCGTCTCCTTGGCGTGTGCTGGACACGGAGATAATACGCTCGAGCGATGAAGCACGGTGAACAGGTGGAAGTAGGTACTGTACGAAGTGGATGCGGATGTGTCCTAATAGTGTAGATGCAGAATGTAGAACCTACATAAGCCAGATCACTGTTTGCTTATAGTTCGAGGGTAGTGTAGGAGGGCATGCTGTTGCCCGTGTCCTGCTTAATGCCTGTACCACGATGTGGCTCCGGCCAATGAGTTACACATACAAATGCTAGGGGTACAAGCCTAGGTATGGTCTTATCGCCAACAACGTTTGTTGCGCAAACAAAGACTATGACAAGGTCTGGCAGCTGGGGTGAAATAAGGGTGTTAGACTGTTGCATCTGGGGTGAACCTAGCGATCGCCGTAGCGTAAGCTTGCGTACAACTGTTACAGTTCTGATCGATCACTCTAGATATAAATGAGACATTGTGAGCTATGGATAGGTAATTTCTGAGCGTGGGGCTAAGAACTGCTCTTAGCTTCCTAGGGAATCTCTAGCCATTTCAGTGAGGCCTAGCGACTTATTAGAAAAACTTGCTAGCACAGTATCAAGTACGGTTATGATGAATCTTGGCTGAGCAGTCCGATTGTGTACGAATCATATGTAAAATGTAGCATAGCTTGATGTAACTTGTAGATGCGGACGCCATGCTATTTGAGCTCTCCATTTATATATCATCGTATACATCAATTTACTCTTCAATATCTGCAACTACAAGTTCTAACACTCATGGGAAGTCATCTTTGTGTCGTGCCCGTAATTGATCAAGCCACAAGTCCCAAAAGACTGTTCCCAGAATAATCTATCTAATCATCAGAAATCTCCTACACCGCCCCATCAGCAAGCGGAACGTTGGTGATCGTGCGTTTGAACATCTCCAACGACGCCTTAGGTTGATCGAACCCCGACCACAGACCTGCCTCCTTAAGAACTAGAAAAGAAAAGTTTCCTGATTGGCGTACTTTGCCGTGTTCGACACCATTGACGCGGAAAGGCTTGTACTTCGCAGCGCGGAAAGCTTCGGCACCGGTATAGTTGACCGCGAGAGAGACAGCTTCGCCTCCGAACCAGTTGCTCAACCACGTGGCATCACCATAGTAGAGTGCAACGCGAACGCCAGCGTCAAGCAGTATCTGAAGATCTTTGATAGCGTCTGGGTAGGCCCTGTCGCCCTAGGAAACGATGTCAGTGCAAGTCTAGTGTGTTGTATAGAGCTGGAACTGACTGTAGTCTCGAAGGCTTCATTAATCACCTTGTTCGATAGGGTGTAGTTTTGGTTCACACCAATTGCCCTCTGGACTTCAGCCTTGTTCAAATAATCCTTGAAGTAATCCGCGGGTGGTATTTCACCAGATGGCTGGCGAATGTCGAATGGATTTTTTTCCTAGCCATTCATTAGTATCTACATCAAATAATTCAAAGACTGATGGGTTTTACTTCGTAGAACCCACGTTGAACCTTCCCATGACAAAATGAACTGGCTTGGTGGCAAGTCAATTGCCCAGCGGAAGTTCGTCTGTCTGCTGCGTTGCAGGCTTTAAGTTTGGTCTGACATTCACCAATCGCAGCTTTGGAGTTGGCATATTGTGTATCGTTGATCGCCTTCACCTTATACGTGTTGTTGACTGCAAACTCTGGCTCAGAGGGTGTTTGGATGTACAAGTCTATTTCACCGTTACCGATCTAAAGGGACCATATTAGGAATGACTCTCGGCGCACATGTGCTGGTATACATACCCCAAGTGTGTTCATCTTGAGCTCAATACCCTCGGCTTTTCCATCTTTGATACGTTTGTTCTGATCGGAAAAGTATTTAAAGAAGGTAGGACTGTTTGGTCGGTCAGCCTTCGCCTAGTGCCGTAAGAAGAAACTCTCGACTTGCCCATAGTGACCACCATAACTTGACGTCCACAAGTTGAAAACTTTACTCTTGACCTTAGAGTCTAATTGCGGTAGAGCGCTATAGAACCCTTGCAAGACATTATATGCCGTGACAGCAGATGCATTTGTCGTGTACGTGATAGTCGGATCATCAATATGGAACCGCCCAGCCACCGGAGCCTCTGAGTCGCTCATGAATTTGCCAGTTTTAGGGTCGATGGAGCCCTCGCCCTGCTTAGAATAGGAGAAGCCTGCTCCGATGGGTGCGGAGATGAACAGTAGGTTGGAGACTTCATTCCAGCTGTATGGATTAAGCCGCGTTTCCAGATTTTCTGTAACATTGCAGGGTCCTAATTCTTGGAATAGACCGGTCAGGGAGTAGGTACCCTTCGTTCCATCGAGCCAGAGGGTTATAGGGTCATTCGCCTGGTCAAGACTGATCAGTACGAGGAACTCTTCATTATGCAAAGCTGATGCTTACGGGATCCTTCCTGCTTTCGAAGAACCAAAAAAAGCTGTGTACATCAGGAGCGATATCAATATACCCACTGTACGAATTTACGCCCTTTGTCGTCTCGCAAACACCTTCCTTCCCAGTCTCCTTATAGCGGAGTGTCACGCCAGATGGCGAAGTAATATTCTTGTAGTCTGAGATATTGGCCGGCACTTGAGCAACAATAGAATCAAGGAGAGCAATCGCTGCTAGTATGTACCGTAAGTAGCTTGCCATAATGGATTAACAAAGCCACCAGTGCGCGAACAGGCTGAGAAGAAGGCAAATAAGGGATTTTTGGTCGTCCGCTAGCTTGCCGAGACGTGCAGCTATAATTTGTTTCCAGACTGAGATCTTTATACAATCTATCAGGCCTGCAGTCAAACGGTGACAGTCGTAGTGTTTCGAACAGTGTCGAGCATGAACCGATGTTGGTCAAAGCGTGAACGTGTCAACATAGGGATTGAAAAAGAGAGCTTCGACTATCACGATTTTGTCTTTTATAAATAGACATCCTAGATAAGTCGCAAGCCTAGAGAGGGCTACTCTTTCTGCCCAACTTAATACATTGTTATGATAATAACAAGAATTATGATTAACATCATTGTTGATTATTTCTCTACACTACTTCTTCTTATGTTTGGTCTTCTTAGCTGTGTATTTATTCTATTTATAAGTTGTCAAAGAATGGAGTACTCAGGAATACTCAGGAGTAAGTGGGCACGAGCTGGAACGTGCACGTGATGGGATGTCTTCATTCAGTTCTAGTTGGTCCCTGTATCTATAGCACCTGCAGATCCCCCTCATTGGCTAATCCTCGTGGACTATCATGATTCTGTTCGTGTTTCGTGTTGGCGCTATTAGATCCCTGGTGTTTGGTGGCGCCATAATGTATTACGTGATCAGCTTCACGTTTCAACTTTGATCGCTCACTCCCATCCTAGTCAGCCTGGCTGTCAAGCTCGAACTTGGGGATCCTCTCTGCATATGCTTGTTCACTTTGATTCTGTGTTCCAAGCACACAGGTCATGTCTCATTCGTGACAAATCTCTTGTGACTTCACTGGTCGATGATCTCACGCTCACTGACTTGGATCCTTCTCCTTCTATTAGGACTCGGCGACCTCTCTCTTCCCACTCCTCTCTCCAAACTTCTCCCTCGTCGCCTCCTTTCCGCTGAGTCTCTCAGGGGACTTCGTTCTCGCACCTGAGGAGCTGGCGCGCAATCCAATTCGAATGGCTCGAAAATTTCATCATCATGGTAGACTTCTTCGTGACCATGCTCGTCGGTAATCATGATGGCAGGCATATCAATGGGGCTCTGCATCTCGGGTATACTAGATGCTGATATTGGCGATACGTAGTCAGAAGGTGATGGTGGACGTAGTGCTGACGACGAAGTGTATGTACTCTGGCGGGGCGGCGTTCGTGGTGTAAATAATTCGCTGCGCATTATGAGGAGCGCTGGTGATATGAGAGCCTCGCCGATGGAATGATTCCTACGTCTACGTAAAGCAGAAGGCTGGGGAGCGGTGGTTGGAGTATCGATCGAATCTGCAGTTGACGACGTCGACGCACTCGATGCAGATGAATATGATTGCGCGCGACGGCGGCTCACTCGCGTCATAGGATGTCTGAAGACCATTGTTTTACCACACTCTTGCGCACGAACGAGAATTTATATTGTGATAAGCAAAGCCTAGCACGGAAAAGCAGACAGCAGCGACAAAGATGGATCAAAGGCTGGCAGCAAAGTAGGGACGACAACGGACGTATGATATAACCCACAGTTTAAGCATGGATAACCTGGGCGTAGAACGCTGTCGATCTTATACAACGTAATTGCGCCTCCCTCGCAACGAACGTTCCTACACAACGCTGAGCGCCGCGTCGGCCGTGGGAGGCTGAGCAAGGTGAGATGGGCTTGCGCCTGCGCCTTCCCTGCAGCTAATCCCCGTTCGAAATACCGAATACGGTCTTTGCGATCGTGAGAGCTGGTCGGTACAGCTTATGGTAATTCGAGCGATCACACTATCATCATGCGCGCGATGTTAATAGTTGGTCAATCCTGTTAGTTGAGTAGCAAACGTTTAGCGAGGCCGTGGAGTGGCATTCCAAATGTGCCTCCGCTCGTAGCCTTAAGTTCTATCAGACAAAGGGATAAGAGGGCCAACACAGACCGAGGGGAGAGAAGCGTTGAGGTGGCCACGCGCGCATAGCGAAGCAATAGGGCAGAGTTGGTGATGGCATTTTGTTGTTCGGGTTTCCTTATAGTGCTGGTCTTGTGGTCTCGTGATGGTTCGGAGAGGCGCAGCCCATAAGCCAAGTCGGATCTGACGAATAGTATTATCATTCGCGAGCTTTATCATATGATTCATGGTAGATGTTTGTATTTTATGTCATATAGAGTCAAGCTCTAATAGCTCTCCATCACTGAACTCGATACTGCCACAAGATTTATGATCACGTGCTACAGATTCACAGAGCAAGCAATTTCTTTACCCAGCAACCAACTTCCACCATCACTCTACGACCACAAACAGTAGTATCCTTCATTCCACTTTATACGTTCGTAATAACAAGTATCACTGTGGTAAGCATCCGCCAATCACCATTTTCTTGCCCCATGATGTCAAGCATTCCACGAATAATGAGGCTAGGTTACATTCCTCTTTCCGAGGCCTTACAGAAGGTAGACCATTGTCCTCTAAACAAAAAGCGCGCATTTTTTTGTTCTGTTAGAATACTACTGATCTCCAAAACTTCAATCGTGTCTCATTCCTCTCTTACGACTGTTTACCGGCACGCACTTCTTCACTTGTGAAACCCGCTGGAAGCACAGCGTGACAAACATTTTTCTCACGGGATCCGATTAACGTCCTCATAAACTACTGAGTTCGTATAGTATATACAGTCGTCATCAGTCCCAAGACCAGATGTCTACGAGGAATATTTACTACCATCATGATGATCGACAAGTCCGCCAGAAACAGAAAACCTAGCTCTGGTGTTAGAGCATACGGCCGGTACGATTTTCGGATCTTCGCGCTCCCGTGCGTGCTGCCCCAGGCCCCAGTCTGTCAGTGCTTTGGGGTTAGCGGCTGCGGTTTAGCGGCTCGATATCTGTGTTTAAGCGTAAGACCCTTGCCCACACCACTCTGTCTGGGCAACTCTGGACTGAACAATTTTAATAGGTTCGACAGGATACGGCCACTCTGGCCAGTGAGGCAGTCAGAATTCCTAACCTACCAAAATGATGGACCATCGAAGTCACATAGTCCTGTTCCTACGCAAGCCGCGATCAAAAACCACACGTATCGTTCACCAGCTTTTTCTGGTTCACATTTTACCATGTGTCAAATCAACAGAGAGGCATATAATCAAATCGTTGCATCAGGGGTCCTCATAGGGTAATCAGGAGTTCTTGTGGACCAACCATCTGCGAGTGTCGCTGCTACTAGTCGTCGATCACACGTATGAAAAGTAAGCTTAAATTAGTCAAGCCATCTTGATAGACCGCCATTGACGAGTATTGCCGGCTAGCCAGGTTCGACTCGATCGCATTTCCCCGCAACTCGGATTACTCATGACTAGTTGGCCACTAGATCTAGTATATCATCATGCGTACTGGTCCACTCGGATGTGTTTACCAGGCGAAGCTGGCGAATCATTGACTAATTACCTCGGGAGCTGTTGTTAGCAAAGAACTCTGTCTAGAACCACAACACCGCTCCAGCGGAAGCATTACGGTGCGTTGTGTGCTTAAATATTGGTATCTCCGAGCTCTTGCCTTTCTGTGGATCTACTAGACTAGATCTCGAGTCTCATGTTCTCCTAATCAAGCATAGTAGTTAATCTTCAATGGCAATTGGACTTGGCACATTAAGCGTATCCCTCACAATTCTTGTCTTATCAGCATGTCTACCTCGATTGCAGCGGTGATTCCTACCGTTGTTCACCACATACTCTACTTCTGTAGGTGGGCTTAGTGACGGCAAGGTCAAAACAACAAAAGCTGTCTCTTCATTACTACACGAGTCGCGGATGTAAGCTGCCACTCCACATATAATAGGAACCTGTGCCGCCGGCGCTCACGCCACGTCCTTGACTAGTAAACTGTGCTTCAAACATTCATTGGATGGTACACGAACCTAGTTTCTGCTTTTATAATACTACGCCATCATTCGTGTGTATTGAGCAACGCCACAAGACCCCTTGAAGCAATATTAGAGCCGACATATCATCCACGTCGCCACGATATACGCCCACCAATCTGTCTTCTCGTAATGACGAACTCCAGTGGAGCTTATAATGCGGGGTTTCAACGCCAGTATATTCGCCACTCGTTAGTGCTACTTAAATCTTAACCAGACTACCATATATAATGGGCTGGGCCTTGTATATAAGTCTGAACAGTCCGTCCAACGCAGCTATTATTTCGTTACACTCGCCATCATGATGAAATCAATCATTGCAACATCCCTCATCGCAGAGGTCGCTCTTGTTGCTGGCTTCCCTGACATTGCCAGAAAAGTCGCAGAGCAAAGAGCGCTGGAACAAAGACAAGGGGGTTTCCTGCCTTCACTTGTACCATTTCCGGAGTTCCCTGGTACTCCAAATCACGCAGTCTTTAACACATTCGACCCCAAGAGTCAACTTGTATCCACCAGCGGCGATCACGCATGGCAAGCCCCTGGCCCCGGCGATATCAGGGGGCCATGTGCCGGTCTCAACGCGGCTGCCAACCACGGCTATCTCCCTAGAGACGGTATCGCAACCGCCCAGTCAGTTAACACGGGTCTATGGGAAGCTTACGGCTTGGACAAGACTGCCACTCTATTTTTACAAACCGCTACCATGTTCTTTGATGGTGATCCGATCTCTGGGAGATGGTCCATTGGTCCACACTCAGACAAGACTGCTTCTCTTGGTCCTCTCAGTGACGTTCTTGGGAACCAGACTGGAATCTGCGCCTACGGTCACCTGAAGACTGAAGCCGATGCTTCCATTACTCGTGGTGATTGGCTGGACCCCAACCCCGAGTTCAACGGCAACTGCGCGTCGCACCCGAAGTTCATGCAAGAACTATTTGATTTGGCGGATAAACGTGCTAATGGATTCATCACACCTCAAGTCATGGCGGAACATTCGTACAACCGCAAGCAATACTCAATCCAAAACAACCCCAATTACTTTGCGCCGGTATGTATATACACTACCAAGTTACCTTATCACCACTAATATCTTCTGAACAGGTTTATGCTGGTGTTGCCTTCACATTCGGCGCCCATATGTTTGCATTCGAGCTTCTCGGCAACCACTCTGCAGAAGAGCCGAGAGGATTTCTCACCAAGGAGGTTTTCATGGACTTCTTCTCCTACAAGAAGGACGCTGCCGGTAACCTGAAATACACATACGGTCACGAGCGGATCCCCGACAACTGGTACAAGCGTCACGCCCTTGACGCCTGGACACTCACCGATATTGTTGTCTCTACTGCCCAACAGTGTGCCTCGTATCCCTCCAATTGTCAAGTTGGAGGCAACACTGGTACCGTCAACAGCTTCAGTGGTGTCGACCCTGGTGACCTTACTGGTGGCCTCATCAACAGTTTCGAGAACTTGTCTAACCCTGACAAGCTCGGCTGCTTTATCCTGCAGAATTTGCAAGCTGAGATTCCGTCGTTCTTGTCCAATGTCTTGGATCCTGCGTCACTAAGCCTCGTCAACGGGCTCATTCCTACCGTCCTGATGCCTGCGCTTAAGGGTCTTGACATCAGCGGTACTTGCGGCAACTTGCCTCCTGGTCGTACAACTCCTGGTTATGGTGGTGTGTATCCTGGCGCGAAGGACATGAATGTGTTTGAAGGTCCTCGTGCTGCTTACTAGAAGTAATTATGATCATGAAAACTTAATGTTTGTATATTCTACTGGCAGCCTTTATGTACAACAAAATGGGTGGTTAATGTTGCTTTTCTACTCGGTTGAAGATATAAAGATACGTCAAGAATTAAAAATTATAATATATAAAATTATCTCGATTGTCTATGCCCATGAGTAAGGTTGTATGTTTATGAATCTATCCGACAATTTCTGTTACATATCTTGTCTGCTCCTGATATGTCCTGCTTCAATCTCACAATCCTTGCACGTACTCACTTTCGGCCGAGTATGGATCTGCAATGTGCTCCCCACTTTCAACGCAACCTCATGATAACAACGACCCGCAACAACCCGTGATGGTACGATAACATATCTCCAAGCCTTATCGTATATATGAGGGTTGTACAAGCTGCCCCTTATGAAACGCAGCACGCGCAAGCCCACTAAAGTGCTCTCTGAGGACGGCGAGCACCTCATCCCAGGCTCTTCTCAACCGCCATCAAACTCATCGATACAAAGTCACGAAGCCAGTATGCCCGGTAGAAACATAGAGGAGGCGCACATTCCTCTAGGTAAAGCCTCCGAAGTCATAACCTCACATCTCACAACCCATCATGAACAGCAATTCGCCCTCGAAAAACGCACCCTTCGCAAGATCGACTTGCGCCTCCTCCCGCTTATGTTCATCACCTACAATCTCAATTTTATGGACAAGACAATCCTGTCTAGCGCATCTGTCTTTGGTCTGCGTACAGATACCCACCTGGTCGGAACACAATATGCCTGGCTCGGCTCCGCATTCTATTTTGGCTACATGCTGTGGGCATATCCAACGTCCATGCTGATCCCACGCGTCCCACTGAGCAAGTATGTTGGTATCAACACGCTTTTCTGGGGTGCTGTGGTAGCGCTTATGGGCGCATGTAACTCGTTCGCGCCACTAGTAGTTTTGAGAGTGTTCCTTGGTGTCGCCGAAGCAACCATCAGCCCTGCGTTCCTCTTTGTGACGAGTGCGTGGTACACGCGGTCCGAAGTTCCGACGCGAGTTGGCGTGTGGTTTGCAGGAAACTCGCTGGGCGGGATTTTTGCGAGTTTTATTGCCTTTGGACTGGGGCATGTTGAGAAAGGAATGGCGAGTTGGCGGTGGCTGTTCGTGGTATTGGGCATAGCGACGTTTTTATGGGGCGTACCGATGCTATTATTCCTGCCAGACTCGATCGCTTCAGCAAAGTTTTTGACAGCGGAGGAGAAGGAGTGTGCGTTGCAGCGCGTCGAAAAAGAGGGCACGGGTAGCGCTGGCAAGGAATGGAAAGCGGAGCAAGCATGGGAGTGCCTGCGAGATCCAAAGTCGATGTTCTTCTTCTGTATATCGCTACTGACACAGTTGCCGAACGGCGGGACACAGAACTTCCAGAACCTAGTGTTGAAGGGGTTCGGGTTCACGAGTCTGCAGACAACGCTGGTGACGCTTCCAGCGAGTGTGATTGCGTTCACAACAATCTTCGTCACCGGACGGCTTGCAGGAAAGTTCGCAAACATATCATTATACTTGATCGGAGCAATTGTCCTTTTTCCGCTCACGGGGTCTGCGATCATATATTCAGTAACGCCGTCTCGGGGAGTGAAGCTGTTTGGGTACTATCTCATGTCAACAGGGCCTGGTGCATTACCCCTATCACTGTCATTGGTCGGGGTCAACTACAAGGGATCTTCAAAGAAAATGACCATGACAGCACTGCTATTCGTAGCGTATTGTACTGGTAATCTAGCCGGTCCTCAATTTTTCAAGGAGAACGAGGCTCCACACTACCCGACCGCCTTCAGAGGCATCATGATCTGTTATGCGCTAGTAATTCTCGTTGCAATGACTCTGAGAATGTATCTTGCCAGGGAGAATAGGAAGAAAGATAAAACGGATGGTGTTACTGGGTCGAACAGCTCACCAGAGCAAACCGTAGAACATACGATAGACGACGACGAGCTGACAGATTGGAATGCGAGGGGCTTTAGGTACCGTATGTAGATCGCGTTCCGATTGACAATCCAGGCAGTACAGTCCAATCCACTCACTGAGCTCGCGAGCGAGAAATTGCGTTGTGTTCAATTATGGGATACCGCCCGTCAATAGATGCATCACTGGAGACCTGATGTACCTTATCGCAGGATTTCAGAGATCGTTCTTCTGAACCAGACACTTTGCCTGATACTGTACCAGACAAAGGCACGACCTACCCCTTAGTTCGGTCCCAAAACATGTTATCAAGGATATGATAGCCATTTCGTACCTTGTGAGTATTCAGAAACCCTGATACGGTTTACCAGTAGTGTTACTAGAAAAGCGGAAATGGACATCAATACTAGAACAGCTCACTGCCTGTTGTTTAGTCATAATACGTCTCAATTGTTCATCATGAATTTCTTCAAGTGCCTCAAAAGAGCATCATTCGCGGGTCGATACTAATCCCTTGTCAAGAGGTTGTGGTACTAAGTGATAGAAAGCCAACAGAGTCTCAAGAAATCGCACTTGGTGATTTATTTGTAGAGTAACTTGGTCTTTGACACATTCGTTTAGATGACTGATAGCTGACCAAAAATCCTTCTTTAGATCATGCTAGTGAACGTTCACTCGACCAATGAAATGAAGGCACCAAAAGTTAGCGCGGACAAGCTCTCTTGCCCCAATCTGGAAACTAGGCTTACCAAGCTTCTACACGTGACTAGTAAATTTTCAAGCTGTCGGATCTACAAAGCTAGTTCTAATTACTGAAACGACAACTTCACTGTCATGTTGTGGATGATTGTAGGAGTCCTTGCGTGTCACGAATCTTATTGATCAAGATGTCGCTCAGTGGTACGGCAGTACCTAGCTAGGTCAGGCGTCATTGGATGTTCGATATTGACATATTGTTGAAGCAACGGAACGTCAATTTGAGGCGTGCTGCGCCAGGATCAGGAGGAGTGGCAGCCTTGCTGAGTGCTTTTGGCCTAGGAGCCGTTGAAAGCTCTTCTCGTTAGCATCAAGCCAAGACCGTGGACCTGATGATATCATTGGGTCACCGTGCTAGATTACACTAACTCGAAGTCGGTATTGCAGGTCGATTGCCCAAATAAGGCTGTTTGCGACCCTAGCCTTCCTTTTGTTCGATAATGGAGACCTCCGTCAATCAGATATGTGGAACAAGACATGGACCATGGCTGTGCTATCAAGTAGATCGAGGACTTTCTTATGCTTATTTCATGTTTTAAACACTAAGAAGTACACGCCATGCTCGAAGCTCAAGATATCTCTAGATATGAGTTTCATTTTTAGACTTCCCTAGGAATAGATGAAAGAGAACTAATGTGTATACAGCTTTACGGAGACTTTGTTAATACTAAATTAGGATCAAGCATCCGGCCCAGTGGAAAGGTTGAAGATCTTCGAAGTGGGGCCAGGATCTATGCAATCAGGAGCTTCGGCATCCACCATCTCGACTTGTGTACCGGCCAATGGGATAGGTTGTGCAGGTCGCCGATTTTTTCAGTGCGGAATCCGATGTTTGGCATGTAATTATAAGCGCAACGCATGAAGAAAATATTGCATGGTAGATATTCTAAGACCAAAGATATAAATCAACACTGAAGGAATACCCCTTAAATTCCAATAGCGGTTTTGACCCAACTGTACTCACGCAATTATATTTCTCGATGCTATGCAAGGAACTTCTGCGGGGGGAGATATTCCATCAGACGGACTCGATATATACAAGACTCACGACATGTCTCGTATGATCTGTCGTGGGTAATGCAAAGAATAGAAGGCAGTGCGAGCTGATCTCGGAGCAACTTGGCACCTCGGTGGCTGTGAGCTAGCGTCGGTATCGCCGCGGTGGGCGGCACTGCTACCACGTGTGAGCCTTCGCTGTATCACTTCCTTCTAACCTGGGGGTGTCGTACATATCTACTCATCCATTCTTGTAATTCGCCCAATTAGTATGGCCATGACCCTTGCTAATGAGGCTGATCTACATTGCCATACAAGAATCACGATGAAAGGGGTGGGTATTTAAGCCCAGTAGGTAACCAATGACGCCCGGTTCATGCTGAACGAGTGAAGATGTAATTACAGATGCTACTCTAATTTTTGGGTCGTCTATGTCGAAAAAAACCTCTAGAACAGCGTTCTACGCCGTCAATGGACAATAATGTTTAAATTTTCATAACCGCTTTGCTGAGTACTTATTCCCAGGCCAAACCCAATCGAGCCAGTGCAAACTGCCCTGTTCCTGTCTGGCATCCATGCATGCTTCTTCTCATTATTGTGGGGCCCAAACCTGGATTAGTCGAGTCTTCTGTTTACACACCATGCAAGCACTCAGTCCCTCAGTCCGTCCGTCATTAATGATAATCATGAACTCCATGCAATGCCGATATGAACTATGAATGAGATGCCTGCATAGAGGTATGCATGTCGCCGCCAGTGTCTGTCTCCAGGACAAATTTCTAATTTTCTGAGGTGTTTGGACATTGTCCATACTGCTACCAGCACAGATGGATGAATACGCAGCTAGCCGTCGGTTCGTCTACTCGCCGCACTTATCGTTGGGAATTCGCGATATGCTGAATTGTAGCTAATGAAGGGTCCTCGCCGAGCCATTTGCCCTGGGAAGAGTCCTGCATTTGGAGGGTATTGATAACGTGTTCATCGGTAATCGCTGCTACTTCCTAGGCTGCATGTAAGCAGGTTGACTCGTTATTGCCCATTGATGCCTGAAGGCTTTACTAACAGCTCTCAATTGATTGTCCACGGCTTGCAGCTGTGGAACATGTGTCACAGTGGGACGTCTGCCCTGAAGAATTGCATAGCGAGAGTTCATCCAGCGCAAAGCGGCATGTACTCGAAGATATGCACGCTGGCATTGGAACCGGCGGACCGCAGCGTCGACAATGACCCTACGTATGTAAGCATAGGTTCCGACATCACCCAACTCGAAGAGCCCACTACTGAACATAAGAGTGACTCACGATCTGAGCTGCGATTTCTCTCGTTCAGAGTTTCCGGATGGATTAGATACGGTCGCGTTGAATGGTCTATTGAGGACGGCCTCAGCCTCTGCAGCACAATGCCGTAAAAGTGTGTAGCCTTCGAGGTAGTATTCTTCGGCGATAGGAGAGACTTGGTTATGGGAAATATAGTATTGCAAGTTGCGAAAGTCAGACATAATCTCAGCAACCCGTATCGCGCGTGCATCGTTCACTAATTTTCAGATTTCCATTTAGCAGCTGTATTAAGGTATGGTGACAATGGTATTTGATGGGGAAGGTGCTCTTACGTCCGTCTGCCATTAATTCAGTCCGAGAAAAGGAATGCGAAGCAACGATAATAGAAGTAGAGGAACCAACTCAAAGAATGGTGCTAGAAGAAATAGAACCAAAGGAATAGTGACAGAGGCATGCAGTAGAAAATACAGGCTAGAATGCTCCCATACACTCCGGAATCTATGTGGATCTAATATAGATGCCATGATGGCCGCCATGGGAGTCGAGACTATTAGTTCGCGTGTTGGATCTGGCTCCCAAGGATGCTCAGATTGTGTCCGACAACACTCCGTGGCGCGGATGCCTCGTTGGTGTGTGCCTTAGCCAGCTGGCAACAAACTCAGCGTTGCAAGGGGCATGAAAGCAGTCGCCACTACGCGGAAAAGTAAAGACGTATCGCAGGTAAGATGTGGGATATGTTGACAAGGGATCGACAGAGCTTGAGCTGTGGGCCACAGACAATTGACATGAAGAAGGACTTGGACACAAGCTGGAGGATAAGGTATGAGCTTCAACTAGAGGTCACGGGCAAGGCAGCAGAGGGGTGAGGTACCGCGACGCTGTGTGCGATAGGTTTGTTCTATGTTGTGGAGCGAAATGACTTCAGCTTTAGAAACATCAGCCACAGGCTCGGCCTGGCAGCGCTAACGTCCTAATCCGGTTGAACACTCGGCTGCATCCGGTAAAGGTCCGCCTGCCGCGAACCAGATTGCATAGCCAGGGTCAGTCAGGGTCAGGGTCGGAGTCAGTTGTGCTCAGGAGACACGAAGAAGAAGAACACACATCTGTTGTTTTCCGTGTCAATTATGCACCTGAGATCCTTTCCTGCAGGCGCTCACGCACTGTCGGGATCCTCCATGGTGGTACCATTCGTCTTACCAGGTTACTGGTAGTTCCTCGTCTTGATTTTCGTCATAACATCAATGGTCACGGCAAATCAATGAATAATTGCCACATATGCAGCCACCAGTAGGGCTGCGTGGTGTCGAGAGATCACCATTCGCTTCCTAGCCGTCCCAGGTCTCGCAGCGGCCATTGAGGATATTCCCTGCCGCTTGACGTTCGAGTGTACCTGCAGTGGCTTGAAATTCCCCGGCTGATGTTGACGATCGAGCATACTACCGCCACGCTTGTGTGGCTTGCGTGTAGCTGGCAAACACGGCCGCACGGATCGGACTGACCTACCTACAACGATTGAAGTGTTGGACATGTATCATGGTAGGGTACATTTGCTTGCCTATTTGACTCTATCAACTGTATAACTGCATCACGCAAGTAACTACGGTCCGAGGAGTAGGTCCAGTAAACTGCGTATAGCACGGCAGACTTGTATAGTTGCATGCAGAGTCTGCAGCCATGGTACATCCAGGAATTTGCTCAGCTCTGATCATATTTCTTGAACGGCCTTTATTGTTTCCACAGCGTCTCAAGTCAGACCGTGTCGCTTCAGTCTTTATCTGCGATCGCTTGTAGACGATCGTCAATCTCTTCCTCAGTGAGGGCTCGGAAACCAGGTTCGGTGCCATCCTTCCCATCCGATCGTGGTCCTCCGACGATACCAACCTCCAATTCGTTCTTCTTAAAGTCAACACTGAGCACAGTACTCAGGGTAGCGATGCCAAGTTCAACCACCTCTTTCCAGTCGCCCTCGGCTGAGTCCTTATTCTTTAACTTCTTCTCCAGGAAGTTGAGCGCCTCCTGGGTCTTTGGTCCTGATGCGGTAGCCTTGTAGCCAACGTAGTATCCAGCTGGATCGCACTTGTAGAGCTGGGGGCCGTATTCCGAGTCTAGGGATATGAGTGTTGTAGAGACACCGTAAGGTCGGGCATATGCCTTGCATGAATCAGCCTAGGTTCAATGTACTGGGACGAGAACCTACACGCTGAGTGAAGACCTGAGAGATGTTCGCCAGCCTCTTCGCCAGGACATCACAAGGCATCTCATATCCAAATTTATAACGAAACTCTGCAGCCTCTCCTCTAGCCCGGTTTACCCAAGCCCGGGCATCTGCTATTGAACCAGTCATCACGCAGCCGACAGATGGCGACAGCCTGAAGATGTGAGTGACCGAAGATGGGTCGATCAACTTGTCCTAGGTAACACATGAGCTAGAAGCTTGAGATATGCTCCGCTCAACGTACTGGTACTTTCTTCTGTGACAGGACAACCGCACAGTCTTTGCCCCGTACTCCTACGGAAGTTATGTTCGCCGCTGTAATAGCTTTGAAGGCATATTCTGTTTGTTGAATTTAGCTACTAATAATTGTATCCAGTGTGAGCCACATACCGACTTGGTAAAGGCGCCCTTGGTCCGAAAAGATGGTGATGTGGCGGTCAAAACCCGCACTTCCTACATCAGTTGTTAGCTATAAGCTCTGCTGGATTCGTTTGAAGGACGACCTGCCCGACATATTCGCGGTTTGATGCTGAGCTGAATATCTCTGAAGCTGAGTCTCAAGCTGCTGAATTCAATGATACGGTCGGCGTGATATGAACACTTGAGACTTGCTTCGTTGATTTAGAGAAGAGTGATAGAGCTTCTACACGTTCCTGGCAGCCTGTGGTTGACCTAGCTGAGCCAGTTGGTCCGTGCACTGGTCAATGACCGTCCGGGACGTCGGTTAAACTCTGGTGACGAGAATTCCGCTCTCACTAACGAGCACCAGACAATACTCCGATTGTTGCATCCATCATTATCGTGCATCGTTGGACATCTGAAGCGCTCTGGCTTAATCATCACATATAGAATTCCAATCATGGCGCTCAACTCTACGACAGCCATCAGCGTTGCCGCACATGTTCCAGCATGGAAGCGTCTAGGACTGAGATTGAAATGCCAAAGTGATGGCACGGGAGAGGCCAGAACATGCCCATTGGCAACCTCTATACCTCTAGATATCGGTATACAGTCCGCGAGCACCAGCGAAGAAGTCCTTCGCCCCAAACCGCAGCAATCAACCGAAAAGAGGAAACGTGACGGCGACATATCCACAGGTGAATCCTCAACCAAGAAGAAACGACATAGCGATCCACGTGAGTTACGGAAAACCGAACGTATCAAGGACCTTGCCAGGGAGAAGACAAACACACCCTTAACAATATCGACTGAGGCACACGACAATGAAGATCTTAAATTCAACACTAGCGTGAAAACAAAGCGCTCATCCCTATCAAGCTCCATCAGGCATCAAGTCTCAAAAGCAGCAGACGCTCGATCAAGCTCACCGCGGAAAACCGTCTCATTCTCTGCAGACACAAAGACGGATGACGGGAGCAGTGCTCAGGACCTTTTCCGCACGTGGTCTGACTCCCAACAGCAAGGCGAATACGGCTTGACACCAGAAGAAATCGCCGAGTACCTCGAACCTGGGTCGCTACCAGCAAAAGCCAAGTCAGATTCACCAGAGGTAGTTCAAGATCGAATCAAGCAGAAGAAAATCAAGAAGGCGTCTCGTCACCTCGAGAAGTCCTCGATCGAATCTGAGCCCTTTCTAAAATATCTCCACACCTACGCCACCGACCGTAGGAATTGGAAGTTCAACAAAACTCATCAGACGACGCTCCTGAAACACGCATTCAACATCTTCCGCATTCCAGACGACATGGAAGCCGATATTCTCGCTTACCTTGCAGGCTTACAAGGTGACGCGGCCAAGTCCCGTCTGCGCGGCACAGCCCAAGAGATCATCGCTTCATCCGCAGCAATCCAAGATGCAGGTACCATGTCTGAGTCTGTAGTTCGCGATTCAGCCCACGACAACGCCCTTGCTGAGCGCTTAATCCATGAGAAAAAGCGTAGGCGCGCAGAAAAGATTCTCTTCACTATTGGCCCCGAACCTACCAATCCTTCCAGCGGTTCAGCGCTCCCGATACAGAAGCACAATAGTGCAAGTACAGCTGTCCCCAAGGGCACCCTTTTGAAATTTGATGATGAACCTTTACCTCCTGTTCAACCGCGCAGTAGACGTAAAAAACGACGGACAGACGTATCATCTTCATCAGAGTCGTCAAGTGACACATCGTCTGATAGCGATGGAAGTGACGTGTCAATGCCCTCAAGAATTGGTGATGCACCAAAAAGGACCCCAGCAATCGCTAAACCCCGCGTTCCAGTCTCCTCTCCCCTTGTCCCTGGAGAAGCTGCGTCTGCCCTGTCATCCTCCGATTCAAGCAGTGACTCTGATACAGACTCAGAGAGTGATGACGAGGGACACGCAGCTAAAAAATCAAAATCGCAGTCGCATATTTCAGAAGATATCAGAATGCAGCTGTTTGGTTCAGCTCCGTTTGTCAACGAGGGAATGAAGGCTACATCGACAAATAGATTTTCAAGTCCCGGAGCTGCATCCACGTCAGGAGAGGATAGTGGCGAGGAACATAGCTCTGATTCTGGGTCTGACTCAGAAGATTCTCATGTATCGGAAGACGATCTGAGCTCAGACGAGTCTTCGGAGAGTGAATGATTATAGTGAACGAGTGTACATACGGGACCAGGCGCGGTGCAATGACTGTTGGCCCTTGGGCATAGTGTACCCGGTCGGATGCTTAGCAGGCGGTCGATACTGCACTGTCTGTATCTAGGGTAACCATAATCTAGACATTTTAACAAGCCTCACGAACACTTCAATAATTCGAACTTGTCTGATGGGTTCCTAATCTAACCATGATCGAGTATCGATTCTTTCGTCAATCCTCTAATGTACATGACACAGAGTATATAAGCCGCTACAATTCTGAACGCATCTTATCCAACGTTCTACTCGGGGTATCCAAGTGTAGGTTTGCGGCCTGCTGAAGCCGCACTATCAGATATCTATGCACTTGGTCTAGTCGCAACAACACTACATAGCCATGTCACCAGAAACTATATTCCCGATAGAGGCGTCGTCACAACATAACTTCTTCTACATGCAGCCTGAAACAATTTCGCCCGAATTCTTCGCCCCAAGAATAGAATTGTCGAATGTGTCTAAGACAATGACATGGTTGGTCAGCCTCTGGCCGAGGTAGATATATACGTGCTGCAGATTAGGCCTGAACTTGCCTCCAGATAGACGCAAGGCCACACTGGCTACCACTCTTTTTTCAATATGTGCCCACCGAGCGTCTGTATGAATATTCGACAGAAAATATATATGACTTATCGTTCATCAGCACTTATCATAGTGACCAGATATACATCCAGGATTCTAGAGTATGCTCACCAACTCATTTATGTAGCGTACAAACACGCCTGTGACCTGACTGTATTCGTCGTTTGATAATCTGCCTTGAGTCTTGTATAAGCAGAACCAGGGGCTCACAAGGGAAGTCAGTACGGTCAAGATATAATATTATACTCTACTAGCTTTTAGGACAAACTGGATTAAAGCACTTCCATCGAAGGGCGTAGACAGTGTCTTGGATGCTAATATTGTAGGGTAATCGTTCTTTTGATGAACTGATGTTAACAGGATTCCAATTAGGTGGGCTTGTCTACTCGGGTCTGTCCCAAGTCTTCGTCGCAGTCGGTAAATTGACGACCAGTAGCAATATGTGAAGTCGATATCTGCAGACGGAGCATCTCCCAAGTAACGAAAATTGTAGTGAATTCATCCAATTTTGAGCCGCTACACCAGTCTCAATTCCAAGTTAAAAGTCTAAATCTAAATGACAGACTCTCCGAATTTGCTTCTCCCTATTTCGACAAAATTGTCGAGCTGGCGCGCTCAAACGGTTCAATGACTCTCAATTTTAGACCTATGAACGTTATAAACAGGCTTCTCTTCGAAGCCTCTCAACTTTCTCTTACCATGACCACGTCCACACTGTAGAACTTCGAGACTCTCAAATTGACTCATGGATTCCACATGTACATGAACGTTAGGCATGTGCAGCTTCAAGTATTGTACCACTAGTGTTTACGCGACAATTCCATAATCGCTCATTTTGAGACTATTGGTATAGCGCATTTGTTCGCAAGAACATGTGCATCATAGGTTCTATAGAATCCGCCATGCTCATAAGGAAGTTGCATAACTGACCTCAACCCCATGAGCCTAATGCAACGTGGAAATATCAATTCATAAAAATCCATTAGTCTATTAGTACAGCCAAGCCACGTTACACGGTATTAAAACTCCACAGACTATAGTGCCCAGAGTTCAGAAAGCGAAAGAACTCCCAACATACTCCGGTATGCAATACAAAGCGAATAGGGCCTCAGAACACTATTTCCAACATTGGATGCCGACTCTTCATCTACAAGCCCTCCTCATAGCATAGATATCGCCAGTACAAGAGCCCCGACCATGGCGGCAATACTAGCCCCTTTCGTACTTGCGGTACCTAGGAACACTGGCGGCGTAGGCGTCGGGCTCTCAACCGACAAACCAGTTACACTCGGTATAGCAGGTGGCACTACTTGTGTTGGCGTAGGCGGACCAGAAGATGGCAGTACAGAAGAGGGCACGACAACAGAGACCTCAGGCGCAGATGAAGCTACAGTTGGCGGAGCTGGGGGAGCAGGGTGCACATAAGGTGTCTCTGTAGGCCAGGGTGCTGGTGTGTATGAGGAAGGCCAGATAGGAGCGTACGTCGGCTTTGGCCACGCCAGTGTCGAGGGCCAGTCCTTGGGTGCTTGAGGCCAGGGACTACCGGATGGGACGGGCCATGGCATAGTAGATGGCCAGCTCTCGGGACGTTCAATATTTGCAGATTCCATGGGTGGGGAAAGAGGAGTGTTTGTTGTCTCAGAGGGTGGTATGGAAGCAGCAGATGATTCCTGTGCTGATGGCGTTGAAGCTGGAGCTGGAGCTGGAGCTGGAGCTGGAGCTGGGCTGTCTCCGCCACAATTCGTCTCACCGCCGAGCTCGACTTTGAAGGCTACACCTGCTTTGGCATCACCTAGACCTTGCTGTTTCCCGAAATCAACAACGTCGATCTCCTGACCGGAGACTGCAGCAGCTGGATTGAGCCCGCGGGGTGGCTGGCGCCACATCACGAAGGTATAGGTGCGCGAACCCCTTTCCTGGAATGAACCCGGCCCGGCATATTTGACGAGTGGAGACTCATCGGATGCAAGCTTAGTCTTCTCGTTTGTCGCAGCGAAATTCGTCTTGTAGTAGTGCAAGATCCGCTTATCACAGGTCGTGTCGACCATGGCGATGGCATACTGGACTTGGGTGTTGATGCCGGACGAATCGCCTAAGGCGAAGGTAGGAACAGTTTGAGTCTCTGTAATCCATTATATGAGTAAAGCTTTGATTCAAGGACTTGAAAGGCGAACGTACGACCTGCATCGATCGTGGTACCACTCGCAAAGCCCTCGGACGCATCGCCACCGAAACTTGCCTGAATCTCGATAGCATCAGTGTTGAACGTGCCTATCAAGTCCACAGGGACACCCTCCTGCGCGGAAACCATAAAAACATGGGATGCGAGCACGAACACGCCTGTAAGCCGTCCAATAAACATGGTGGGAATAGTCCTGACTATATTCGAGATGGGAGGAGAAGATGACGATCGAGAGGCTGAGGAAAATTTCTAAAGAAACTGCAGGCCTATTAAATACTTCAACCAGCGAAAGTATATGAAAAATGTAACCCGGAAGATAAAACAGCGAAAGGGAAAAGTTGAGTAATTTGCTGTGCTACACTATCGTGACCAACAGTCCCATCTTATACTGTTCAGCCTTGTCCATCCACTCGCCCACACCTGCCTGTCCCTAGATAATCATGTCAAGTCTGAAGGTAGTAGATCAGACTGGGGAGACTCACTCAGGTGCAAACACCGTTGGTGGCATGTTGTTCTCAGTGTCCGACTCACCTCGTCTCAGCCCGACGTCCGGGATGGCGGTCAGCGTAGGGATCGAAGGACCGCCAAGAAAGCGGCGAGTGATCGCGATTCCACCGTTTAGCTCTGCATAGACTTGGGATCGAGGACTATGTGATGCAGGTGGTGGCCTTGGGCGTTTGCGTTACTTTGCGCGTTGCAGGTTGGTATTGGGGGCGCGGCGGGTGCCAAGGTGTCTGACAATGGCCAAGTGTTATTTATGACTATCATTCTGCGACAATATGTAAACATGAATGTCACATGTCCCTAGCTTCACAATAGAATAACGGCGTTGTCAAAGCTACAGATGTCCTCAACACGGTTATTCAAGCGCATTATGCTAGATCAAAAGTGGTACATCATCGTCAGAAAAAGCGTCATACACGACACAGACACAGCAGTGTACCTTTGTGCCATCGAGTAGTGGAACGATTCGCCCTGCAATACCCAGAGGTAGTGACAGCGTCACATCACCGCTTCGCTGCACTGCGTTACTTGGCCAAACTCAAGCTCTGCTTCTCTTTCGCATCCAGCCTGAAGGCCTTCTCCGGATCCTGTAGGAATTTTTTGCACCAGCTGGTCCACTCCTTCGCGCCTTTCTTCATAGTCTCTTCTAAGTCTAGATGCGCTTCCTTGATCTCCCATTCCACGTCTTGCGGACTGACACTTCCATCCAAGACCACAGATGGTTTCCAATGTATTGCGCTCAGAACTTCCGCTTCGCTCGGTATCACTATGCCTGGATAGGGGTAGTTGGTACGGTCTATGCGGAAGCATCGCTCCTCCATGTACTTGCGTGCAGGTTCCAGTGCCGGAGAAGCCTTTATAGTGATCTTGAGATGCTGTTTAGTACTATCATCCGCGCTAAAGCGGTTTGTTAACGCTTTTGCCGTCCTGGCACTGCGAATAGACTTATAAGCCCAAACAGAGTCAAGTGCCAACATAGCGCCCATAGTCCCTGCCCCAAAATCCGCAGCAGCAGCAAATGGAAGCAGAGATGTGGCAATTGCGGCGTCACGCTGAGCACGCGAGCGTGCTTTCATCATAGCGCCAACGAAGGTCTTGCGGATGTCCTCCTTGGACGACTGGCACGAATCCGGGTAAACGATGATAAGTTCCTCCATTGACTGCGCAGCAGAGTGTTCCGCCGACACAGACAGGTCTTCTCTTTCTTTACCCCCGGGCATGGGTAGTCGGGCCAAGAAGTCCACGTCAGAGCCAGTCGTGCGTTTGGATAGGTCGTCGAAGCCGAGTCTCGTCTTCGCTCTGAAGCTCTGCCAAGCGGAGCCTGTTGTATTCTTCTCCTTTTGTTCTTTGAGCAGGCGTCTATCCTCGGAAGAATGCCGCTGTCGACGACGTTCCGCAGATTCCTTAGCTCTATCCGCTGGCTTCTGTAAAAACGATGGCATAGGTGTATAAATTAGAAATCTTTCCGGTGGTTTTGGGCAAGCTATATCGTCATTCTTCGGACTCGGGTATGGGATCAGGTAGGCAAAGTATCGCTTTGAATCTCTAGAGAACAGGGGGGCATCTAAACTGTCCACAGCCATAGTGGGAGTCAAGCTGCTGACAGTACTATCTGTAGGAGTAACAAAGTTGTGCTGGGGTCTAATATTGTTGAGTCCCTGGATTTGCTCATAGCCAGCGTGTTCAATGGGCTCGTAACCTGCTTCCTGCGCTTTTGTGGGTGGTGCTGCCGGTGGCGGAAATGTTGTAACTTGCCCTCGCTGCTGAGGAAGCAGCCTTGCAGGAAAACTAGCTGGTGTGGATGATGCGTACAGAGACGCTGTGCCTGTAGGTATTGACGGGATGGTAGATGCTTCGGAAGGAGGCGTAGCATAAAGGTCTGTTGTCGTAGTAGTACCAGTGGCATTTGAAGTTGCAACACCATAGTGCAGAGATAGATTATCAGAGGGTAATATTGGGGTCTCGGTTACTTCATCAATGTTAACGTTGGTGTGGGCATTTCTCGCCTCGAGTTCCACATATGGTGGAGGAGCTTCGTCGTGCCGAACCGCGGAAAATGATTCATGATCCAACTGAGGCTCATGGTGAGGTGCTACGCCATATTGTGAGAATGATATGGCGGATGCATTAGGCTGGCTATAGATAGACAGCGGATATTGCGAAGCAGATGGTCCACTGCCCAGGTTCGAGCGGGATAAAGCGCTGGATGGACTCAAGGCACCCTCAGTCTCGGCAAACTCGTCTTCATCCATGCCACCACGACCCCGTAGTGTCCCTTGGCGATATATGTGTGGCAACGAGGTTTGTACCGGGTCCGAGAAGTCAAAGGACGTCATCTCGACGCATGTTATCCTCCGAACGGTGGATATACGAGGTGTGTATACAACTTGAAGAATGAAATCCAGATGAAGTTAAGTCAAGACGGCGATATTCCTTCACCAAGGCCGTGTCAACAGTTAATATCCAAGGGGGCTATGCCTGCAACTCGCGAATATTCGCATATGAATCAGCGAGCCACACGCTGATAATAGTGAGATGAGAATGAGAATTACATGAGACGCAAGGAGGATGATCCAGTGCCTGGCACGATGCCGGGTACCAGGAGTAGTAATACGGGCGATACGACATCGCTTAGCGTGGCTGAGTCGCGCATCCTGGTTAGAATGGCACTTGTGAAGTACGACTATACGACATAAACTGTGCACTGTACTATATACTATGTCGAACAGGACCGAGGTTATTGGACTCAGGAGACATGGAATGTTCTTGGTGGTCTAAAGAGAAGTACGGTAGGCATTCAAATTTTCCCGATTACGGATGGTAGGTTGGGCGGAGTCACGTGAGAATTCTTAATATAGAATCTCTGACACTACCATATGGGGTCGCATACCAAATGGAAGTACGCGAGCGAACAACGATATATCCAGCTGGCCTTTTCTCACCATAGCTTCACAAGAGCGAGACAGCTCTTGAACTACGACGATGAAAGCGTATCTCGTCGCGTTGACCAAGTCGAATGACAGTCTATGCTCGTTAGTGAGTCGTATACAAGATTTAGAAGCGTCTGGTCCATTCTATGTCATCGCTGGACTATAGTAGTTAATAGCCCCCTAAATTGATATAAGACTTCTCTACCACTCATCGTTATCGTCCTCATCGTCTAGAATCATGTCAGAAAGGGGTCGTTGTTTGGAATATTACGTAGAAAGAATACTTACCACTATGGCTAACCTTCGATTTTCGTTCCGCCAACGCAACAGCCAATGCTCCTGCAAGGCCTCCTCCTGCTGCGGCTGCTCCTGCAGCTGCCGTTCCACCTCCACTGCTTGAGGCCGGCTCGTGCCCAGGGACCAGAGCTGCACTTCTATCCTTCTTCTCTGTATCACTGACTTTCTTTAGGCGAGCTCCATCACGAATACTAGCCATCAAGTCATTTCTACCGCCAGACGGCTGTGGTAACGGTGGTACATTTGCAGCTCCGCCATCTCGTCCTGGTAATGGAGGTGGAGGAGGAGCCTCACTACCAAGTGGCATTGGCATTGGCGGCGGTGGTGGTGGTGGAGGCGCACCCCCGGTAGGCAGTAAAGACGGCGGAGGAGGTGCATGGGTCGATGGGGGAGGTGGAGGTGGAGGTGGAGCGTTATTTAACGGTGGAAGGGGTGAAGGAGCAGGAGCACCACCTTGAGGTGGTAAAGGAGGGGGCCGAGATGTGGTTGGCAAGGGCGGCGGAAGGGGAGGCCCTGGGGTATCCCTACTTGGTGGTAATGGGGGAGGGACTCCTACAGGTGTCTTTGGAGGCAATGGCGGTGGTAAAGCATGTGAAGGCGGGACAGCGTGCGTTGCTAAAGATTCTCGCGCGGGCGGAGGCGGTGGAACTGGTCCACGACTAGGGGGCGGTGGGGGACCTGACGGTACCCTTTGCCCTGTGAACGGCGGCGGGACTCCAAATCGTGATTGGGGCTCTTCTTCGACCTTTGGTGGTCTTGGAGGGGGTGGAGGACCAGGATTTGCTACGCTCGACGTCGCTCTGGCGCGAGATGGAGGCGGAGGGGCATTGCTGCCAGCAAACTTTCCGGCGTCTGAAAGGGGCGGAGGGGCCTTGAACTTCGGTCCTGGTGGAGGTGAAGGTGCTCTTGGTGGCGAAGGCGCGAGTTGAGCTGGTGCAGCATGACCAGATCTTCGGGCTGGTGGCAGCGCTGGAGGTGGTCCGCGTCTTGAGGCTGTAGTGCTTCCTGTATTCTGAGGGCTTATAGAAACCCTTCCAGGTGCAGCTCCAGGTGGCGGAGGTGGCGCCCTGCTGCGCTTATCCAACTGCAGAGCCTGATTGGCCTTATTTTGCTCAATGTATAATTTGACGAAATCAGCGTTTTGTTCCAGCTCGTCTCTTGTTATTCCCATCTTCATAACCTCTTCCAGTAGTGGCTGTATTGACGGATCTGAGAAGTCAATGCCGGAGTCGGTTTTGCTTGGTGCTGGGGAGGCTTGAGGAGGGCTTGCTATGAGTAGATCTTTGTGCGGTATGATGGACTGTGGTTGTGGTTGGGCTGCGTTGGAGCTCCTATGTCCAAAAAGACCACCAAGAAGACCGTGAGATTTACCATTCGAGCTAGGTGCACCGTTCTGCCCATGTGATGCACCGAACGGCTTCGCCTTTGTTGCTTTGTGAGCATTTTTCTCCCTATCATCAACCTTCTTCTTGAATGTCTTTGCTTCCTTCTCATCAACAAAAGAGAACCCTGCTAAGCATTTCTCGAGCTCAAAAGTGTGGAAGAAAGTACGATCGGTGTTGTAAGAGAAGGTATCATAGATTTCCTGGTCCCAAAGCACTCCACGGCCGGCAGGCTGTATCAATTAATATGACATAGACGTAGAGAGACGTAGTTCGCGCACGTACCGATATATCTACCAGCTTAATCCAGTATGTATGCCCGACCAAGTCATTGGCGAGTACTGCAGCGCCTTGTAGACCAGTATAAGTCCATCTATTTCGGTCAGGGTACGCCACGTATAGCTTCACCACTGCAACTGCCTGAATCTTGTTCTGTTGTTTGGGAACGACCCGTTTCACCGTTTGCTTGTCATCCTCGCTCAGTATTGAAGGCATTATATCGTGGCGTGATAAAGCGAGACGTTATACTCTCACTTGCCTTTACCAATAAATGCGTCGGGCATCGAAGACGTCTTTTCGTCGTGCCGAACCGAAGTTGAGAGCATGGGATAGATTGTTTGTTGAAGTTGAAATGGCTACCTTAGAGATGGGATATGAGGTAACGGAAGAGGGTCGAAAGCTTGGCACAAGATGGCCACTTCCAGATGGAGGCACTTGTGGATCCCGCTTCACTGATTAATTAATAATTATTATACCCTTGACTACACGCCAACCTTGCTGAAGTGTCAAGTTTGCTACTAACTTTTTAATTCATCTGCAAGTACGCCATCGTGAGAAACATCTGAAGAGTCTCTTCACCCCTGTGTGTCATGGTACAATGTGGGCTGCTCCAGCCGGCGAGTGTGAGGTAAGAGCTATTACCGAATCATGCGCACGCGAGTGGTAGATTTCCTGATAGCGTAACCAAGAATAAGTTCGCAATCAGCTTTCAAATCCTCAAAGGAAGCAGTCAGTACTGACGGCCATAGTTGCATCGTGAGTGATCCTCTCAAGATCGGCGGCTCCTTCGAAGACGAAATTGGCTTGCCTGCGCTGTCAAATCCATGGTCATGCAAGACCTCTCTGAAAGCTTGCGAATATCGCTGATCCATCCAAGTTTTGACCGTTCCTTTGAAGGAGGATGCATGTGTGTTCTTATTCACTGACCACCAAAGACCTTCGTGTGGCCTCGACTGGATGCGTTTGCGAATAAATTCAGTCTTCAGTTTCTCGCGTCCAGAGACCAGTATATCAAACTCATACAAGAACGGGCGATACTCTGGGTGAAAATATGCTTTGGAATGCAGAATACTGTCTTCCACCCAGCCACCACCGACTCGAAACTCTTTCCGCTCAGATTGAAGTATCAAGCTTTTACCTGATCTACCATAAGGGAACATCCGCTTATATCCTCGATGCAGTATCTCCGGAGACTTCGCCTGCTTCACCAACTTGGAAGGGCCTGAGTCATGGAAACAAGTGACTTGGTGCTGAGAAGGGAGCCGTGATAGTGAGGTCGCATTCACTATAGGCAGAGCTTGGGGCACCAAACCTCGACAGTCTGATACACGGATTAAGTCAGCTCGCCGCGCGAGGGTATAGTATCTCTTCATCCTGTTTTGTGGCTATATTAGCGCTGATTGCGGAAACGACAACAAAGATGAGACCAATGTACGTCCACGTCCAGGACCCTATCTACTAGAGGTTAGAAAGTAGAGAGCTTACGGTGAGTAAGACATTGAACCGAATCGCTGTTAATGTAGAATATAGCTCACGAGAGCACATGACAGATAAATCGCATTTTGATTCCACTCAACCTCATGTAGTAAGGTTGGGTCACTGTTGAACCATCCCAATTGAAGGACTTTATGTTGTACTCGACCTCTTTCAGGTGAAATCCTGCTTATTATGTAAGATAGACTCTGCCAGACTAGGATTAGCGCATATTAGCGCTCTCATTGAACCTTACCCCTCCAAAGCCACAACTCAAGAGCCCTCTTGAGAAACCGACCACTCTTTCTCTCATACTCCAACCCAAAGCCTTTCCTTCCTACCAACTCCAAGTCGCACAGGGCCTTTAATCGCCACCACTACATCGAAGAAAAGACAAAAGAACTCCCGCCAATATGCCTAAGAATAAGGGAAAGGTACCATCTCATCGCCGCCGGAATACCCCGCTACATACAAGAAGCCCGGGCACCTAGGCTAATACACAGACTTTAGGGAGGTAAAAATCGAAGAAGGGGGAAGAACGAGAACGACAACGAGAAGCGCGAGCTGACCTTCAAGGAGGAAGGACAAGGTATGCCTTTGTTCTCTCCAAGTCGCCAACCACCTTGCTCGTGCGACCACGTACTGACAGCTTTCTCCATAGAGTACGCTCAAGTCACCAAGATGCTCGGTAACGGCCGGCTCGAGGCACAGTGCTTCGATGGCACACGGCGCCTGGCCCATATTCGCGGCAAGCTGCGGAAGAAAGTTTGGATCAACCAGGGCGATATCATCTTGCTCTCGCTGCGCGACTATCAGGACGAAAAGGGTGATGTGATTCTCAAGTACACGGCCGACGAAGCCCGAAGTCTGAAGGCATATGGCGAGCTTCCCGAGAATGCGAAGATCAACGAGACCGATACATACGGTGAACAAGGCGACGAGGGCATCGGCTTTGAGTTTGACGAGGACAGAGACGACGAGAGTGATTCTGACAAGGAGATTGATGTAGATGACATTTGAAAGGACTTTAATGGTGAACATATGGCTAGACAGGCTATATTATCCAGATTATGCATGCTTGGGCGTCTTGCGTACCGCATAGGGATCTTCACGTTGTCGTTGCATAGCACGAGGTGCCGTGCAGAGAAGGACAGAGCTAGTCGACAAAGGCTTTGCCGGCCACAGCGACCGCTTCTTTTGCAAACTGTTGAAAGATAGATTAAGAATGCACTGTTTGGAAGCCTACATACTCATGATCCAACGCAAGTTTGAACGATTAATGGGTCGTCTACTTTTTCGTCACTCGGGCGCCTAGATCGTCTTTCTAATGTTACATGATTTTAGCTATGCTAATCACCTGCTTGCTTCTGCGGCGTACCGACTATTCAATTGCCACCCAGAAAACCGCATAATAGCCCACTATCATTCATTCATACATCATACACGTTTCGATTGAAGAATCTAAAGATTTGCCTGCCCGCCTCCTTGCCAATCATCCTCGACAACGTCTCCTCTTCCATATTCGCCAGCTCCTGAATAGTTCCCACCTCCAACGTCAGCCGGGCCAAGTTCTTCGCTGTAACACCTGGCACAGCACGCAGCATATCCTGGGGTACCTGACTAAACATTCGGTTTTCCTCCGCAGCCTCGCCATGCTGCAGCCCAATCTGCACAGCTCGGATAGGATCCGGTTCGTCCTGTTGTTTCTTGAGCTCCTCGAAGATTTCTGCAGTCTGGTATGGCGAGCTACTCCACACAATCCGCAGTCTCGGGAATGCGATAGTAAGCAGGACTAGTTTGCTTTGCACGTCGGAGGCGTAAGTAGTGCTTGTAGAGCTCAAGTCGGCGAAAGGCTCGAGTGTGAAAGACTTGTTCTGGTTGAATTCGATGAGCAACATTGGGTTCTTGTAGTACTGTAGCATGGTCTCGGCTTGGTTGTAGAGACGACCGTTGTTCAAGGAAGAGATCAGATCGCCGATAGACTTGCGCTCGATGGCGATGTTAGGAGTGAGGACGTAGTCGCCGACTGTCAGCATGCATGGGATGACAATCATGTTGCGGGCGTGAAGGAGCGAAGGGAGGGAAGAGCGAAATTCTCGGACGTCGACCACGACGCGCGGAGGGGAGGCTGTCGCGGCGAGACGTCCTCCGCCTGCAATACGTGTGTTGATAGTTCGTAGGAACTGCTCCTGGGGGTCCGTGATGGAGTTGGAGTCTAAGGTCAGGGCCATAGTTCCTCTTTCACGGATGAGCTTCGTAAAAGCGTCCTTCTCCTTTCTGACGGCGCTGAGATAGCGTTGCTCCTCGACGGAGTTCCCATAGTACATAAAGTAGACTCGAACGCTCCGGTCGCTGTGAGAGCTGCGATATACTTCAACTCGGCGGATGAAGGCAGCATCTGGTTCATACATGATAATGTAGCGTGGCTTCGTTTCTTCTAGAACATGCTCATCCATGTCACCATCATAAGGATGCACGACGATCAGTTCACTCATATCGAACATTTCGAAGTAGCTTTCCATGTCTTCTAGGGGGTCCGCACCAATCTCAATTTTTTGTGCGGTCTCGATATCGGTTGGTGCAAGTTCAGAGAGTAGGCTAGCAATATGGGTATCTTTGTCGCCAGCTGTATAGCCAATATCATTCCGTCCTGGGCCTGCAGCACCGCCACCCCTTATACGGCGTCTTTTATTTGGGGGAGCTTTGCCTTTGTTCTGTAGCGCTCGCTGCTCCGTTGAGCCATTGCTATTTATTGACTTCTGGTGCTCTGAAAACAAAGTCGCCCGTACAGTCGTGAAATCGCGCCTCCAATTTAGGTAGTTACGAAGTTTGCGTCGCATCATGAAAGTCCCTGAAGGTCCCCTCGGTTCTTCCGGAACGTCATTGCCTGCCCCTTCTGTCTTGTCTGTCGGTACAACATGCATTGTCTGAAGATACTCTCGTATTTGGCGACAAGTGTCTTGATCTCCGCACATGACAAGTATAGCACCGCTCGATCCGTCTTGAATCGTTGGGTTGAAATATACATCTTGCTCTATCTCCTGTAGTATCTCGGCAAGGAGGTCCCACTTTGGAAGTTCTTCAAGTACTGGCCTGAGGGCATCACTACGGCCTCGATCTATGTCTACATTCTTAACATCTCCTGTGTATACGCGCCGCTTGGCTATGTCAAAAATGGTATGTGCAGCATCGAGGAATAGCCATGGTGACTGGTTTTGTCTTGTAGATCCGGGAGGTGGCGAGGAAGCCGCACGAACTGTATCGAGGTATCTATTGAAGGTGACAGCATCATAAGTCAAGAGGGCACTATAGGCACGTTAGGGAACTTTGAGTCTACAAGTGGGTATACCAACTCACTGAAGGATATTTCGAAGCAAGGTCAGATCACGGACTATTTGCCTTGTTTTGAAACTGGTTCGGTGCCATACTGGGTCTAATTGTCTCCTTACGATCTGGTCAAAGTTCCTATGGAGAGCGCTGTCTAGATTCCAGTCGTCCATCTCCAGGCCTGAATTGTTCTTCTTCAACTCTGTTATGCTCACTTCGACACACTCGAGGACTGCGTTCTGTATAGCGCGCATTCCTTCCGTCATAGGGACTTCGAGCTCAATAACTTCTGCCTTTCGTCGTCCTTCTAGAGATTCTGCTACTGTGAGGTGGAATCGTGGGTATAGGGAGGGCTTCCGGAGGAACAGATTCCGCATCATATTTGCCAAGGGGGAAAAGCCAGTTGTGAATGGCTCGGGTGCATCTGAAAAGGCCTTCAAGAAGCCTGCCTTGTTCTTCTGTCGATATATACGCAGTATAAAAGCTTCAAGGGAGGTCGCCATGACCTTCTCAGCATGTAATACCACAGCCCCAGTTATAGTCGCAGGATCGAGTAGACCAGAGAGGAGATCCACAATCAGAATCCGTGACGTGACGCTGAATATTCCTCCACCGGAGTACATTTTTTCCCGCGTTGCAACACTCATCAGGTCTGTGTTCACAAGGTTCAGTCCCCTGCATTTGGGTGCCACGCTGACAGTGGCATGCTCAGCTAGAGCTTCACCAATCCAACCATTTTCACGATCGTCGGCTCCGATGAGCAGCACGAGGTTGTGGCCGGCAGCGTCGTAGGAGTGTAAAAGGTTGGTGACGATGCGCAGTAGGCCTAGCCCTCGCGCGATGATGACAAGCTCATCATCTTGGTGAAGTTCTTTGAAGATGTCCTGCTGGTAGGCCTACGATTTTATCAGGTACACATTCCGATTTCCAGTATCCATATGCTTACCAACGGCAGCGAAAGTTTCACCGGGGCCTTCTCATTGTCAGGCATTTGGCACGATCACGCGCCGAGGGAAGAAGATTACTAAGATCTAGGCACGATTGAAATTGGGCAAGACTAGGACGTCCTATCCTAGGAGCACCGAATTGCTCTACATCTGACAAGAGAGTGCTGTCATAATCGATCGCGATCTGTGCATACCAAAGGTATTACAGGATGAATTGCCTTGTTGCCTGGGGCATACACTAGACTTCATCGGGCACTAGCTCACTAGAATGCGGGGAAATGGTACAGCGAAATAAAGCTCGATGAACAGCATGTTTGTTTCTGATATACGGAGGACAATAGGATATATACAAAGACTCTAGATAAATTGGAGGATCCGTTCATTTGCTGTAGACCTGCCAGTGTCCAGTTAACTATGGTCTGTCTCATGCTCCGAGATACTATTCAGGTAAATGGCACTATCAGAGATCCATCCATAGCCACAGCGATAGCCACATGGCCCACGAACTGGCATCCGAGTGGCTATGGAATCAATGGATAATCAACAGGTAACTCGCGAATGCACGTCACAGATGACGGCTTGCAGTGTTGCCGAGACTCACTTCAGGCAATCACCAACACTAATCCTTAAGATACGTATGCGCCTGCGTACTATGTATACATCTAGATGCGACGCTGATCAAGACTGACCTGCAAAAGAGGCCTGCGCCATGGACAGCCAAGAGGGGCTCGAAGGGAGCAATCCGGACTTTGTATTGTTTCATATGACAATGTTGAACAATAATATAATGGCATCGTGGTCGGAAATATTGGAATGTTCCGTGACCCAAAGGTCTACGCCGCGGTCGCTTGTGGTGATTATTAGAAGTAATCAGTACAACGCAGAGGGATATCCATTACTATTATCCATTGTAGCTGGACGTAGGTACATGGATACCTAATTAACCTAAACGTCCAACAGTCCAACAGTCCCGTAGCTGCACAGTGACCTCATCCGCCCTCTCCAGATCTTTTTTTCCTCTTCCCATGGTTCTAAAGGCCGTAGCTAGCTTCTTACATCTTCCGTCCCGGTCTAAATTGTCCTTTGACTGACGTGCCTAATACCAGGTACCTACTATATACCTACTACCCAGTCTCTTCTTCTCTGGTTTTTCTTTGCTCTTTTCGTCTCCTCACGTCTGTGCTGAGCGACAGCGACATCGACATCGACAGCGATACCGACAACGTCTGCTCGTGCCAACAAGCTCTGCCTATTGCCCAGGCCTCATCTCTATCATTATCATTATTATCACAATGAATCTGCCATCCCTGTTCTAATTGCCCGCTCTCAACGTTTTATCGCTTTGTACTCCCAACTGCAGTCTAACCTTATCTCAACCACCTACGCTCTTGGCCGCAACTCCGACTTCGACCTCGTACCGTCCCACGTCGCACGCGTACCTCTTGCTGTCAAAGTCGTGTCGACGTCTTCATTGTCGACTCTGTGTGTTGTACCCTGCTTCTTGTCATTTCTTTCTGTCTTCTACGCTTCATTCACTGGCTTCCCTTCACCATGGCTTTCCTCGTGTCTTTCGATGACTCCGACTCGGACTCTACACCTGATGAGCACATACCTCCCAATTCTACTTCCAACCCTTCCGATAGCATGTCTCCCCAATCGAATCTTGTTCACAGACAGTCAAGGCCTCTTCCTTTGCAGGTATCGCAACCTGTACCTTCTCCAAAGACAGCTGCTCTGGACACACCTCCTACGACACCTCTGTCGGACAGCATGCGAACGGTATCGATACCAGAAACCTCGCGTGCTTCTAGTGATATGTCTCGCCGTTCCGTCGATTTCACGATGAACGATTCTCGGCATTCTCCCCTGCAATTCGACTTCTCGGCCACAGACTACACCGTCTCTACCACAAAGGTTCTCGGCGAAGGTCTATGGAGTAACGTCTATCTGGCACAACCGACCCCTGCCCGGTCAAAGAGCTCCCGTGAAGTACTCACACCACCTTTGACACCTATCAAGAGTCGCTCACGACCCGACCCAAATGTTACGTCGGTCCCGACTGCCTATGCGATCAAGACGCCAACCTCACGCTCTGCCCGAAATGTACTTACGGCAGAAGCGCGAGTTTTGAGCTATGTCACCGCCATTCCTGAAGTTTCATCCTTCGTAGTCCCTTTTTACGGTCAGGACACCCGGAATGGTGCCCTCGTTCTCGCCGCCATGCCAGAGACGCTCGAAATGTTCATCGACTCCAAGCTGAATCGCTTATCAGAATCAGATCGTTCCAAGTACTTGGCGATGATTTTTCCTTCCTTTGCACTGCGCATGGTCAAAGGCATGGAGTCACTGCACTCCGTTGGAGTAGTGCACGCCGATCTCAAACCTTCAAACATTTTATTACAGACGAACACCCATGGTCCTCCGAAGCCGTTCTATGCCGACTTCTCCTCCTCAGTACCGCCGCCCCACCTTCAAATTGTCAATGAGAAGACGGCCACATCGCTTGGTGGTGGAACTTGGGATTTCCTTTCTCCTATCCTACTTAAAGAAGACATCAATCCAACTCCACGAACGGACATCCATGCACTGGTCATTTCATTCTTGTTTCTTATATTTGGTGCTTCGCCCTTCGACTCCGTTGGCAGCAATGTCTTCCTACGCAGAGAGATGGTCAAGCAGAATCAGGCCATCAACGCCGGTTTGAATAGTACGCAGAACTTCAGGCGCCTGCAGAGTCTGCAGAAGTCTTTTGATTGGGATGTAACGTGCTGGTTGGAAAAGGGGCTTGGAACCAAAGACATCAATCTCAAGGCTTGGACAGAAGAGCTCGAGAACAGACTTTGCCGTTAGCTACCGCGCATGAACCGCAATTACGAGAGATGAAAGTACGACAAGAGACAGGCAGTACAATTTCTTTACACGTTCGTTTTATACCCTCATCGCATGGCTTTCTCTGGCGTCCTCGGCATCCTTTGGCTATAGTATGCTACACACTTGTTTTCATTAGTCTTCCCTGTCTGTTTATTTGATCTTACATGGCGTCATATTTCACAACGCAGCGATACGGGCGCAAAAACAATACGCCCTGCGCCATGTACTACGCAGGTCGCATAGATCTATAGACAACCTTATCAGCATATACTATATTAGACGCATCAGACGATCTCTCGATCTGTATCAATACAGCCAAATTCGCGCATGAGCGCATAACTTTTTTCTCTTGAACCCTCGCTCCATGCATTAGTGCGGACCCGTCGTGGCGTCTGTATCGCTACTTCGGTAATGTTAGCCGCAGCAGGAACATTGTGCTTGTTAGGTCGAATCAGTGAAAACCCAGACCCATGTGGCAGCTTCGCCAGAGTCTATCTTATTCGCTTCAGAAATGCTAAGTCAGACAATAGACTCGGAGACTCTTGAATATTAGTGTGACTGTAATTGCAGCTTTGCAGCATGAAATTGTCGCACACAAAACATGTCGATTGATGTGCCTGTTCGTTGTAGGCTTTGGGGCTCAAGCCATTGGTGACTTCGCTTTCTAACAGATACAAAAGCGTTTCACGCTCTCTGCAAAACACAATTTTCATGTATGTTACCCTAGGTATTGTAGTAATGTATTCTTGGGGTATAATTAGCACTTCTAGTCACAAGACTTTGGATCTCATAACGGCTAGAAAGTCTAAGTATACCAGAATTCTTACGGCCTACTCTTGTAACGCCGGTTGTTGTGCAAGAAATCACTCATTAGACAGTCTCAAAAAGAGGGAGCAAAGCTATAGTAAACTATATACCTTACTAAATAGGTCGGCGACTACTTGATATCCTCGTAAACATTGAATATATAAAGAGATATACCCTCAATACTGGATATCTAATTAGTAACTTTACAACCTACCTGCTCCAGTCTTCAACACTGGTTTGCAAACCTATAGACCATGATAGTGGATTTACTCCTAAAGGCAGGGAGCTCGTCTTCTTCAGTCTCTTCAGCATGATGGGCAAAATGGGTGCTTTCATTGACCCTCTCATAAGAAGTGCGATCATCAATGATACGGCAATAAGTCGTCGCCATTTAAGTTGCTCTTCGTTCTTAGCATATCAGCTGCCATCTGGCTATACTTTTACGTCAATCTCCAGCAGAGCCGTATTGAGCAAGCCAGATTTTCTGAGCGGGAAGATGTTCTGAAGGGAACGCTAATGAATTCAAAAGCATGTAAATGACAAGCATCAGCAGTCAGAAATCATAACATGAGACTACTCTATGCTAGGTCTAAAAAGTGAGTCCTGTACTGGACTGCCTAAGGCAGCCATACATTTCATGACGTCAATAAATTGCACTACGAATCTAGGGGCACCAGGGCTTAATGCGTGAAGCGGTGAGCAGCACTTTCATTGTAGAGGTACAACACCAAACTTTGACATAAATCTCATGGCGTCAATAGTGAAGCAGAAAATACGCGACTCTATCAAAGAGTCTAGTTCTGAGCAACCAGACTCGGGACTGCAGAATAAATACCTCCTTTCAGTATCAGCTGGTCCTTCGTACGAACCAAGTACCCACAAACGCGTCCTTGTCAATGACCCTCATGAGGCATGTACTTTCTCAAATGAATTCATGACTGTAAAAGTTAAGGTTCGCATCAGGGATTATCATGGCCTACCAACGGGGTCACCCACTACTTCGACTTACTTTGACGATAAGTCACACACCAAAGACATGTATAGCGTTGGGTTCTCATTTGTCCCGAAAATGGATCTCAGCACCACTGATATTGTGTGGGGTAACGACTTCGACCACCCGGTGCGCGATCGTCTTCCACCAGGCTTCAATACGGCTTTCAGGATAGTCAAGGAGTTCATCGACCCAGGCCTGAGCTGCGATGCTTATGCCGACAAGCCATGGCTCTACGGACCGGCGCTTTCTTGTTGGTTCCGCTTCCGTATTGGCGAAGTGCAACATACTCTAAATGAAAGCCCATTTCCATGCGCCGACGAATCACATCCGCTCGAAGAGGGTGCGGATGGCACGGGAACTGATACTCGCAGCGCAGCCGGTATGCCAGAAGACTCCGAGAAACGCAGAAAATTTTTCCTCGACGCCAGGAACCGCGACAAACTCACCTTCGAAAAGGACCGTGTCTACCAGGGTGATTTCTTTAACCCTTATTTAGACTTTTCCAAATTCGCGTTGCGCCTGCCAGGCTTCTCGTTGGGCGTGCTGAGGTATATTGACGATAAGAGTCACACGCTACGGTACACGTGTAAAAACAACAAAACCGGGGATGTGTATTTCGTCGTCATCTTCAAGCTCTTGTTCGGGGAAGAATTGAGACGGGCATTGGAGAGTGATAGGGTCCCCAGCCATGTGGAGGACTGTGGTACCAGGGGCCACGAAGATAACCAGGAGGATAGCCAGGATCATAACCAGGAGGAACATGACTCTAGATATCAGTGCGTGCAGGAGGGCACAACACGAACATCGGTACAGGATACAAGCCATGATGAGATCAAAGAAGCGCTAGAGAAGACGTGCACATCTGACTACACAGAACAAAAGACGAGTATATTTGATATTTAATTTATAATAGACAGTACACTAGTGTGTTCTAATATGGTCTACATTAAGGGACTCTACTCCTATTTAGTGTTAGCAGTTAGCGTTTCTGTATATGAGAGCATACTATAATTGATTTTGTACAGCTACAATTTTAGTATAGGTAATCAAGGGGTAATCTGGCCCCTAAGTACTTTGAGTACCTATGGAGACAGCATGCCCATCAAAACTTAATCAATATCTATCCTATCCGGACGAGGTATAAACTTGCTCTAAAAACACCGCGGCAACCGTAATTTGGACTCCCAGTCGTCATCAATCCATGCCTTTGGTTTCGCAGAGCTATTCGGGGCATTCAATAGCTAAAATATATCAACAACTCTGCATTTGGGTAACTCAGCAAAGCATACTCATGAATGCATATGCCTTTTATGACGAAGGCATGTGGTTTTTGAGGCTAGATAGTGTGGGAGAAACGCAGAGTCGCCACATGCATGAGCTCGTTCTCAAGTAGACTGGCATGCATCGAGATACCACTACGAAGTGCAAGGTTGAACGATCTCCGCCTACCGCTGCTTTATGCAGTGCCGGAAGAGATTTGAGCACCTGGCCATTAAAGAAGAGCCAGGGTGGCTGCACAACACTTAATATTTTGTGGCCAAACCTCACGGAATGTCAGTTCGAGGACCTCATGAGCTCGGGTAGGGGCTGTCTAAGACCTAGTGCCGACTTCATGGACTGTTTGACCATCTGTCGAGACGCAAATGGTGTCCTTTTCTTAGCGAATCGAGGCTGAAACGAACAGCTTTTGATGAGAAAGTTTTTTTATACAGAATAAGACTGTTCACTGGAACTCCCATGCCAATATGGCTTTGACGGCACGTTGAAGCCATCTTATTCAACAGCACACTGCCCATCAAGGGCTCGACTGACTCGATTACCTCGATTGGTTCAAGTCTAAAATAGACCTATTGAAACATTTACTTACCAGCTTCATAGCTTAAAAGTCCAAAGCATCGAGCTAGTAATCCCCTCGAAACTCCATCATAGCGCATCATCTAGCATTTTGTAGCAAGCCGCTCTATGATTCACAATGCAGTTCTCCAAAACAGTCATCCCCCCTCCTTGTCCTCTGCACCTTCCCTACTAGGGCTCTCACACAATTGACACGAATACCATCGTCTCTGACACCACAAACCCTTGTCCGGAAGCCGACCACACTGCAAGCAAAATGAATCTCAACGCGGATTTTTGCATTGCTTGTAAGAGAAGCATTGCTGCAGGAAAGGCAATGTGAGGTGACTGATAAAGTCCCCACTGCAAAAGCAGCGTGCGAGTTAGCAGTGGATTTGACATTGGCGAACAATGACGAGGGACAGAAGATCTGGATGCATCTGAAATGGGACACTTTGGAGAGAGCAGATAAGATCGTCGCTGTGGGGGTGTGCTTGACCCACTGAACGATTTATAATCCTTTTCAATATTGTAACAGCATCTCTCACGTCTTGGTCATAGCGTTCAATGTTCATGATTTTGACTTGTAAAACTTTATGACTTTCTCTCTAGCTGCTGTTCCAGCTCTGTTAAACGCGCCACCAGCTTCTTCCGCAGAGTATCGGGGAGCCCAAATCTATAGTCGTGTTAATATTGCCCCTACACGACACTTATGTGTACTCACATGCCCTCGTTGGTTACCATCCGATATGTCCCACTTGATTGGTACCTCCCTGTCCCATCCACGAACTCTCCAGTTCCATCAACCTCTAAGCTTCCAAATATATCTTCTGGCCACGCCACTCGACCAAAATCAGGCGGGTTGCGCATGTCACTCACGTGCACGAAGCCTCCTCTACCCGCGCCGCCGATGCCACCTTGATTACTTGCACCACCTGCACCGCCACTATCACTTCCATTCCTGCCTGTCTTCCCTGGCCCCCTCATGTTCTCATGCCGTTGCTGGGAAGCGCGACTCCTTGAAAACAGCATGCCGCCTTTGCCAAGCGCGGACCCAGCTTGAGATGCGAACATTGCGGCTTGAGACCGAACGACAGGGTCTTCTGTAGCATGAGCGGCGAGGACCTCATGGATTATGGGAAAGACGTCTGGATTTTCGGTAAATGTTGAAGGTGTGGGACGTGCGGATGTGCAATGGCCGAGGGCAAGGGATGGCGTTGGGGGGTTCGTGGGAAGGAGCGTTAGGAGATTTGTAGAGTTTGATAGGGGAAACACAAACTGTGCTGCTGGATCAGTGGTTGTGTTGGAGATGAGAACGGTACGTGATGAAGGAGAACTCACGATATATGGGTTGTCTTGAAGTTTTGTAGGTGAGCTAGAGTATCGGGCTCGGAACGAAGAAGTCCGTATAGTGGCCACAATGGGCCGCAGTATGCTGCGCTGAATCATTGCTTATAAAGGTAATTGGATATATAGAGCTGGGTTTGAATTGCGGATATGCAATTGAGAGCTTGGTGCCTCGTTTGCATCATGAGTCTCAAGTATATTTGTATACGGAGCAGTCGCCGATGCCTGCTCGCTAGTGCCACTGCCCTCCTGCCTGACTAGAAGTAAACATTCGCTATCGACTTTTGTTTTGCTTCATCTCGCCCGGTTCTCACAACATGGTACAGCTGATTTGTGACGCTCCCCTAATGTAAAATTGATTCAAGGTTTGTGCGACACTATTATTGCTCACGCCGTCGGCGAGTCCAATCCAGTGCTGATCTGTCCTAGAGGTATCGTTGACCCAAGAATTACTGCCATCGTCGCTGACATGGTTGTATCCGTACGTGTTTTGGTACTTGAATAGATTCTTGTGTCCAATCTTGGAGAAGCCGTCCAGCGATAGGACCGCGTATAACATCGTCAAGCCGTCCCATGAAGAGGTCGACGCCCCACCTCGGCCAACATACCACTCATAGCCTGCCAAGACGGGCGATTTGGGAGGTGCCAAAGCTGGAGAGGGCCCGGAGATTACATTGAGGCCTGGTGTATAACCAGAGAATGTAATGCGCCCCGGCCAGAAATTGACCACCGCTTGTGTAGCTTGAGGAGTTTTACCACCAAAGTTGAACTCATAGGTGAAATGTATGGTATTTGACGTAGGATACTCGCCACCCATCACTACTAACTCGGACACCTTGCGACGTATAAGATCGCGACCTCCCAAGGGTGAAAATTCGTCCGGAGTCGAAGAGATGAGGGTTGCGAGATTATCGAAATATCCTAAAGATACAACCGTGATACTGCCATCTTCTGCAGAGCCAAGTATACGTCGGTACATCTGTACAGGATCTGGAGTATGACCCGCGTCGTCTAATGCTCGTGGGTAATTATAAGCAATTTTGCTAGCGTATTCCCCGTTTCTGGTTTCAACATTAGAAACATGAACCAATGCAAAATATCTCAACGTACACGAAGGTATAGCGGTCAAAATACGTGTCATTTGTCAAGGGCTTCATAGCCGCAATCGGAATATCGCCATTGCCAAAATACGTATTGATACACTAGACGTTATGAGCTTCGGCCGACATTCAGTAGGCGGACGTACACTTGTGGCTAATGAGCCGTACTTTGAGGAAGTGTTTATAGCGATGCCACGGATTGTGGCGAGGCCGCAGTTGTGGAAAACGTTGGCCACTGCTAGAGCGCCAACGTCATCAATGCCGCCCATGATGTCGATATCCATGATGATATCCTTTGCTGATTGCGCTCCCGCCGATGTTACCCATAGAGCATACAACAACATCTTGAACATCATTATTGCTCGTAACTAGGTTATATCGAAGATAAATGTTATGCAGCTACATTTCTACCGCAATGTGGGTCTGCCCACTGTTGCCAAGGCGCCGAAACCCCCGATGGGCTTTTCTCTTGGATCTGAAGCTCCTACAGATGGCATGTATGATCTATTTGGAGGCTATTATATCAAGCATTATTGTATCTTAGAATATGCTTCGATGGCTCAACTTACAGTAGCTAGGCCGTCCGAAAGCCTCTGTATAGGCAAGGGTGAAAGCCTTCAGTCCCCTAAGCGTGGAGTTGTCTTAACAGAGATCCCCTTACTATCTTGACTCTAGAGCAATCGTTCAATCGGCCACGCGATAAGGTGCCGAGCCCCACATCTTCCCAGTTGTTCGGATATAGCCTGTATCATCTGCTGTGGAACACCTTCAATATACCACTTGAAGGACATCCGATCTAGCAAGACTGTATAGTGGGCAAAGACCACCAAGGCGACTATATCCTGGCGATCCAGCAAGGCAACAAAGGCCGGGCGCAATTGATGTAACCAAGTCATGATTGCCGCTAAAAACGTTCGTTCGACATCTTCATCTTTGTGATCTTGGAGTGGGGCCTCCAATCGACGTAGGAGTTGTGATGAGAAGATGAATGCCATCCTAAGCATGCGGAGGGCTACTGTGAAGCTTTCTACTTGACCTTCATCATATGGAGTTTTAGGAGAGCAGTCTCGTGGACATCCTTCCTCCCGTGACCAAAGCTTCTTCAGGTCATGGAGCCGACCATCGATATCATGCTCTTCTGGTGTCTCTGGTATGTAGTCCCTTTGCAGATCTCGTTTGGGAAGTAGGCGTGCGATAGGAGAGGACTCAATCCATTTCCAGTGGGGTCTCAGTACCCTAATTCCATGCCAGATCTTTAGCCAATGAACTGAATCTTCTGGCTGATTTCCACAAAAGTAGTTGCTGAAGGTATCGTAGTAATGCGACGCGGCTAAAGTGTATAGAAAGTTACAACTACCGAAATTGAGGATTGCTGGAGCGTTATCCTGGGTGACGTTTTCCAGGGCATCCTTCATGGGACCAGTAGCAAGGTTGATATGATGAGCACCAAGTGCCAGGTAATAGCCGTCGAGTCTGGAGGTTCCTGTCTCCTTTCGAAGTAAGTATGCCTTGTGACTAGCCGCTAAGGCGAGAATCGCACGCAGCAGAAACGTGTTTCGGAACGCACATTCGGGTACAAATTCCTGCCAGACGGACTCTATACTAATGGACAAGCTTGTCTTCAGAGTCCAATGATGTAATAGCTCCATGTCTTGGGTCGTGAAGTGGAATGAGTGCCCAGTCGACAGTGAAGATTCATCGCTTCCAGGGGTTGGGTAGCTGAATGGGCCTCCGTGACCTATGGTCCCATCTCGAAAATGACAATCCAGAGAAAGTTTCCTGCAACTACCACACATTGGCTTCTGCTCGTCGCACTGGATCAATCAGACTGTCGAAGGCGTTTATCAAGTTGTCAATGGACCATACCTTGACCCGCCGACGTTTGCAAGTAGTGCAACCTGTTCTGGTTTTGTTGTGACGCTTCCGTTCGGCTCCCATGCCTTTCTCTATGTCTACAGATATCTTAGAACATATTACAACATAGGGCACCAGAAAGTCTTCAATCTAAAGATGTGCATGCTAGTATAGTCAGCCGAGCAATTCGGTGTTGTACCGGATACCTAACACTCTTGGCCGACCGGGATATAGAGGTCTGTGCGCTTTCCTCCCTGGTCATTCCTAAGCCCAAGGACCACTGATTAGGGTAGCCAATACGTCAAAACTGCTTCTATCAACGCCTTCACAGATCACCATCATGGAGGGAATGTTCTATAATGTTACGAATGGGTAATTAAGTCTCTGCTATGCTAAGGTTATGGAGGCTAACAAGGCCCGTACAGCTATGTCGAGGGCATTGTTCGAGGTTACCGCAACGCTCTTCTCACGAATCAGAACTACGGAAACCTGACGCAATGCGAGACCATCGATGGTATGCTATCGCCATTCCTGTAGTACGGTATCTGACTGACACTTTTGCGCAGATGTGAAGCTTCAGCTGTCTCCCGCTTACGGCGACTTCCTTTCGTCTCTACCTCCGAACCCTTCCACTTCTGCTCTCGCCGCAAAGACTACAGACAAGCTTGTATCCGAGTTCCGCTATCTCCAAGCAAACTCAACAGGGTCCCTATCTAAGTTCATGGACTATCTGACCTACGGTTACATGATTGACAATGTTGCACTGCTGATTACGGGAACGTTGCATGAACGAGATACTAGGGAACTGTTGGATCGATGTCATCCTCTTGGCTGGTTCGAGACGATGCCCGTACTTTGTGTCGCTACCAATATCGAGGAATTATACAACTCTGTCCTGGTCGAGACTCCACTAGCGCCGTACTTCAAAGGCTCCCTCAGCCATTCTGACTTGGACGAACTCAACATCGAAATCATTCGGAATACATTGTACAAGAATTATTTGGAGGACTTCTACCAATGGGTGAATAGCGACCCTGAAGTTTCCGGGACCCCTACATCAGAGGTCATGAGCGAGGTGCTAGAATTTGAAGCAGATCGCAGAAGCATCAACATCACACTGAACTCCTTCGGCACAGAGCTGTCTAAGGCTGATAGAAAGAAACTGTACCCTAACTTTGGACGGCTATACCCGGAGGGCACTCTGATGCTGTCGAGGGCGGACGATGTCGAGGGTGTCCGTATCGCCGTCGATGGTGTTGGGGACTACAAAAGCTTCTTTGATCAGACTGGCCTAAGCGGTGGAGGCCCGTCGCTCGGAAACATGTCAGGGGGCGGTGGCGATTCTCATAAAAGCTTAGAAGATTTGTTCTACCAGAAGGAGATGGAGATCAGCAAACTCGCCTTCACTAGGCAGTTCACGCATGCTGTAGTATACGCATGGGTCAAGCTAAGGGAGCAGGTACGGTCGACTACAAGTTAAACAACTAAATTCGGCTAATTCAACGTGTAGGAAATACGGAACATCACCTGGATAGCGGAATGCATTGCGCAGAACCAAAAAGACCGTATCGGAAACTTCATAAGTGTATTTTGAGGTAGTCTGCGCTATTGTTTGCTGTAAACAAAGGTATGGCGCCGCGACCATTGAAAGGCAAGATGTGCCTATACAAATGAATTACAAACTGCCCACACTGGAGTGCACATACACCCTCGCTATGGTGGCGTTGCTACAAAGGTGCCGATCAGAACAGGTAAATTCTCGCTGTTGGGTGGGCTTGTGTGTGTGGAGAGCCTGTCCAATTACAGGGCCATTGGCAGCCTTTCATAACACGTCGTCGCCTATACACTCTCATTCGTAGGTAGGGATCATTTGTATGTTATGCTTAAAGTAAGTAGAGAACGAATCTTTCACCCTAGGTACACTATGATGTACAACGTAGAGTGGTCCTATGCTGTAACAAAAACGCCAGGGATGGTCAAAGAATATACACGTGCTATTTTGTTGTTCAGAGCGCGTTGTACGTGGTCAGAGCGTTCAGTCGCCATTGTTTGTTGTTAGTTCACCTGGCTCAAGTTGAACTTGGTTGCCACTATACTTCTTCAAGTCACTCTTCATAATTCGCTCGCCTTCTCTCGCTCTTCCACCTTCAAACAACATTTTCTCATCTGTCACTTATGGGTAAACTCGACCACCAGAACGCCGAAGGGGGCAGGAAAGACAAGAGGCGACGCTCTTCGCACGATTATGGAAAAACACTGAAGTCGGTAGAGAGGTCGCGTCTCAACAGTAACAGTGAGGGCAGTGACAGAATCAGACGAGACGAATCGGGAAGAATTGTATTCCCTATAAAGGTTTGTGACTATCTTTTGCAACTTTTATCCCTGTGGTCTGAGTATCTACAGCGAGACAGCCCACCAAGTACACCTGGAGTGACGGAAGTTCTAACTTCTGAACCAATTCACTCGCCTACCCCCGCATCTGAAAATGCCGCGGGCAGAGATCGTAAGATCAGAGGTATCGTCCAGCCCGAGACACCCAAGAAGCGTAAGCATGATTCCAACGAGGTCCCTCAGAAACGAAAGCGAGGCACCGAAATGACACCCGGTGCCCGTGTAGGATCAGAGGATTTGGGTAGACGGGCTGAGATCAAGCGATTGATGGCGACGATCGAGCCCCGTACAAAAGCCGGTCGTGCTGCGCGCAAGGAGGTCCGCAAGGACTTCGACGATGAAATAGAAAAGCTTCGCTTGCAATCACGAGCTCCACCTAGAACTCCTCGAAAGTCCAACAAGTTTACCAAGTCGAATCAGCCTCTACTCAAATCGTCTTTGAGTTCAGCTGTACATGGTATTCAATGTCTTATCCAGCGCCCAGCTTTCCATGAGAGCTACTTGCAATCTTTCGTCAACGCGGTCGGTGGTAGTGGAGTTCCTGATATGCGCATCACAGTGGAGGAGGCTAAGAAGCAGTTTGGGACTGCGGCTCTGCTATGTGCGATGAATGGGCTTACTCATGAAGACCTTTGCTCGCTACTCGACCAGTTAAAAGGCAGTCTTCAACTTGTAATACCTCGCATCGCCTAAGAAGTGAGCTGAGCATGTCGGTCTATTCGTGCTTGTTCCATACATGCGTGGCTGGAACATTCAGGTATTGACTGGATATCGAAGTGCGAGTATAATGGTTGGCTGCTACATATCTACGTGTGCTCGAAGGAAGCAAAGCCTAGGGTCTGATATCAACCCTGTAGAATACGGAGATCGGGCCTCTACACATTGGTTAACCCCTTAAATTGAAGGCAGCATTCACTTGCCTTGCAGATGTGAATTACTAGGCCATGGTCCAATTATTATGCACTCCTTACTTGCCTTTGGGGTAGACGTTACTCTACATGGCGAAACTGGAGGATGACTTGTGAAATACCCCTAGATGGATAGATGCACTTCTTTCTCCCATTGCACCTCCCTATTCAGCTCAAACAACCGTGGCCCTGCGATAGTATCTGCTCAGGTAGGCGCGTCCAGTTACCAAGGCCGACGTTCCGTACGTCTCTCTCTCTTCGTCGCCGTCTACCTTGCTCCTTACCTTATTCATCAGGTACGTTCTACTCTTTCGACCAATACAATAACAACAACGAAATTTCACCGCTCAATCTCTTTTCTATCTTCTTCTTCCATATCTGCATCCCTCTTCTTCCTCTCCGTCTTTCGGCTTCAAGGCCTTGGTCTTGCATGTTTCTTCGTGACCGTATCAGATCTTCATTCATCCTTCGCCGCTATTCGTAACGCACATATCCAGAGTGCAGGTCACTGAAGCCTGGTATAATGTCTGACTCCGCAGCGTTCAACTTTCCTCGAGATGATGAGCTATCTGTCCCCAGACCACCTCGCAGTTTACGACCAGTCTTTCGCAGGCTTGGAGCCTGTGGAGACCGCGAGCTACTCAACTACTTGAGCAGCCGCCGCATTTCGCCAGGTAAGATTACTCACAGAACGGTATTACAAGCTCTGACTCCTCTGCTCCTTGAACATAGGCTTTTTGATCGAGGTTGATATGCTTTTGAGAAACTATCCCGAGCTCGAACACCATGCCCCGAGGTTTGTCGAAGAGTTCAATCGTACGTCGCCGCTGAATGCGTACCTTCATTTCTTGAAAGGCTTCACGCGTCCTTGTCGCTACCTCCCTGGTGTTATCCCCGAAGTTGACTTCACCTTGGACGAGAACTGCCATATCACCCGCATCGTTGACAAGCGTGATCAAGAACTCGAGGATTTCTTTCGTGACTACGAGTATCGCTTCGATATCCTGGAGACCATTGACCGGGAGGTTCTCTATTTCTGTTCGATTCTTAAGGACGGCGGACGTATCTCCCGCAACCAGCGCATGCTCGTTGCGTATCACCTATGGGGTCAACCTGTCGATTGCTACAAGTGGTACGAGTACAATTACCAGGTAATATGTTTCAATAGAAAGACTCACTTGCTTTTCTATCATGTTAACTTCTACATCAGACAGAATGGCTTGCCCACCGGTAGGCGCATCGTGTATACACAAACACTTGCTGATTAACATCGATAGATATCTTCCGGAGCATGTCGTGCTCTCGAATATTCCTAAGGACCCTGGTTACGTCGAGCCCCATCCATATGTCTTGGCGGGACCAGGTCGAAGCCGCAATGATGTTGTGCGCCGCTACAAAGATATCCGCAAACAAATGGCAATGGCCTGTGACCAGGGAGTAGACGTGATAGACGTGCTGCTCGAGGGGTTTACGAGAGGCTTGGCAAGGAAGGGGTTGACTCGACAGCAAATATCGGATGCGAGAAAGGCGGCAATTCAGGCCCTAGATGAAGAAAGAGTCAATGGGACAGGCAAAGATATCGTAGACTTGGTAATGGATAGCGCAAAAGCGGTCCCACTTCAAGCCCCAGGACATGAGAAGACTCTACTTTTGGCGGCTCTAGCCAATCAAACAGTCTTGCCGAACTTCAGCTTCATCACACCGAATATGACAGCCGAGGCTCATATGGATCAGTACCAAACGAAATTCACTACCCGTTGCAGAAGTACGAAGAAGTTGAAGCAGTCAAGAGTACCAGCGCCGAACATAAGCAAGTCGATCAAGAAACCCCCAAAAAAGCGAAGAAGATGCCATGCAACCTTGCAGCGGACTGAACGATGTTTATCGTCAAGAGTCGGCCATGGATGTTCTCGATAGAGATGAGTAACATAGAGTCTTTAAAAGTCGTGGCCGCCGGGATCGCGATTCTGTCAAGACAATTTTAGACTTCATGAGATGTGGCGGTATAGCAGGTCCGGAGACAACCAGTCTGGAGCTCGAGCATCCCTATTCGAAGGAGTATCTAAATCAAACTATGCATGTCGAAGCCGACAAGCGTGATGTGAGGCTAAGTTACGATTTGCTCCATCTACTCCCACCGTTCCTGCGTTGAGGTCGGTCGGCTGAACGTGTCCACCTCTTCGTTTCGAGCACTTGGTGGATTTCTTATACGACTGTTCGGTCTCATTTCAATGCCATCATGAGACTCATATACGAATAGTCTCTTTCCCATCTGTGTCCAAGAGGTAAAAGGAAACCTCAGAGCCTTAGGAGGCTGCATCAAGATATTCGTCGAGGATCGACAACGTTTTTGCTAGTCGGGCTTTACAAGGAAGCGAGAAGAGAAACGATCAATGTAATGCCTGATTAGCAATGTATCGGTAGACTCATCTATCGAGCACCAAGCATTGTCAAGTACTCTGTCCTTCTCGGATCATTGCCTTTTGTCATGACTAGCCAAGCAATAAATTACAAACATCCATATGTGTCTAGCTTCATCGACTCTCCCCAGTCTTGAATTGATCTTCGTCGTGCACATTACCGCATTGGGACATCAGGTTCGGATCTAGCCTTCACTATCTTGGCAGTCCAGAGCATTTAATGAGTGCATTCCAACTCGATGGCAATCAATCGCCTGTATCGAGCTCTCTACGCTGAGTTAGCAGTGTTTATATCGCATTTGCTTAGGCTTTGGCTTACAAATCCAACTGCACGCCGTTGCTCACACTGTAATCGGCCAACGTAAGCACGTCCTTGAAAGGTCTTTCGCCCTGCCTCTTGATCATAATCTCATGCGGCTGACGTCCAATTTTGCTCGCCACAAGGGCCTTGAATAGCTCTAAATCGTGTTAGTCGTTGACTTACTCGTTTTCTCAACCACTCTTCTCCATGGAGGAGGGCTGCATGCGTACTTATTGAATCACTCGCTTGACACGGTATCTGTGCCTTAGTTCCAAGCCTATCATTCACTGTCACCACGATCATCGGCTCGCTCGACTGTGCTACTGTCGTTGGGGGAGCGCGCGGTGGAGGTACGGACGTGTCCAAGATTTTTTCGGGTTGAGCTGAGCTTACACTATCAGAGCCACCATGCAAGCTGAAGTTGGAGGCTGTGTTGGGTGGGCGATTGAGAGAAAAGTCACGCTGGCGATCCTGGCGCTGATTTAGGCGTTGGGGGTCTGGGCCGGGAGAGCGGGCGCTGCGGTTATTCTGGCGACCTGAGTCGCGACGTGAAGGGCGGTATGTGTCGCCGCGATCTCTGTTCTCTCGATTGTTGTTGTGTTGCGAGTCTCCGCCGTCGTCTCTGTCTCGTAATCCGTTGCGATCTCTGCCCGACCGATAGCGATTGTCTCTATCCACGCTACCACGACTATCTCGATCATCCCGAGAGTTACGTCTTGGTGAGCGATCGTATCTGTATCCACGCTTCAGACTTTTATCATCTCTACTATCACCGTCGCGAGTGCGCCTCTCTTTCCACCGAAGCCCACTGCTATTATAGCCCGGGTTTTGAGGGCCGCGTGGGATTGATCGCTGTGGAGAGCGAGAACGAGCGCGTGAGGTTTCAATTTGACTATCAGTTCGAGGGGCCATTTCGAGGAGTGGTGAGGTGGTAGTTGTGTCCAGCTGTTCAGGGCAAGGTGACGTGACGTTACAGTAGTAGGTAGGACATGAGGGACAATTCAGGCACATTTCAGGCAGCGAACTGTTCCTAGACTAATGGATGTCTCGTTAACGGTCACTGTGATCTTACCCGCTTATCTTATCGGTAGTCCCTTGTGAACCAGGCATGAGTGAAGTCACGAGTTTGGAAAAAAATGGCATACCGAAGTGCTCTCGGAAAGTCCATGTCTGTTTTATGAGACGACATCATGCCTAATTCTTAGAGCCATAAAAGCTCGATCTATAAATAAAAATAGATAAAACTAGGGTGGCCTGCGGCCGGCAGACTGCGTGCAGTCTTAATTTAAGGCACCAAGGCACCAAGGCACCAAGGCACTAAGGCACGCCGGAAAATCCACGGCTAAGACGTGCGAATTTTCAACTCTCGAACCTACCACCAAACGCGACACCAGAGGCTTATAAACCCTACTCGTCCGCGACGACGCGGCTGTAGATAGTAAAAAGTATATAGAATTACACGGAACTTCATTATCCACAGAATTATCGGTCAAATTATTAATTAAGGGCGTGGTTAATTTAATATGTGGTAACAGGTGAGTTTTTGGACGTGATTCTGGTGAGGGCGCTAGCGGGCGCTAGACAAAACATTGCATCTTTTTATGATTCCTTTGGAATAAATAAAAAACCGGATAAGCTGTGATAAGGTATACCTTGCTACACATCACGAATACATTCAGTAAGCCGAAGTAGTTACAACCTTACGGTAGCTGTGCTGGTCAACACTGACTGCATGACTCTTGGCTGCACAAAGCTAATTCAACCAGGATTTACCCGTCGACAGACGTCATTGTCCTCTTGGGAGCTGATACTGGCGAAGCTATGTACAACAACAATAGTTTAAATCACACCAACTGAAGGAAGAATTTCCCAAGACTCCAGATACGCTCCATATTGGCGCCAGCATAAGGCTTAGATATTCTCATACATCAATAGGTATACCTTCGTATTCGCCATAGCCAAGAGCGAGGTTCATGTTTTCTGCGGCGAACTGTTAGCATAAGACACTTTAGTTGGACGTGGCAATCTTACGTAGACATTGAGTGGCTGCCCCTTTGAGCAAGTTGTCAATCGTCGCATTGACGACCACTCTTTTGCCGCTGCTATGAACAGCAAATCCACCAATTTCGACACCGTGCTTTCCAGCAATGTTCTTGACGACCGGAGATTCGCCGATAACCTTGATCAACCGCTCTCCAGCAAACCTGTCTTGGTACAACTGGCGGATATCACGAGACTTCATTTCTTGTTTTAATGGAATATTGATAGTATGATGGATACCCTGAAACCATACTGCTACATGGGGAATGAAGGCAACTGAACGGCCGAGTTGGATCGAGATCTCCTTCTCATGGATATGATCAGTCAGACTATAAGGAATGAGGTTGTTAGTTAAGTTCTCTACGTCGTTCTTGGGACTTGGCTTGGTGCCGGCACCGGAATAGCCAGAGACACCAAAAACAGTGGCCTCGCCGCCAATGAAGTCTAGTAGTGGCGCAATACCCAGCTGTGCAGCGGTGGCGTAGCATCCTGGGTTAGAAATCCGAGTTGCTTCGGAAATCTTGCGACGGTCAACAAGTTCTGGTAAACCGTACGTCCAAGAGGGGTCGAAACGATAGTCGGCGCTCAAATCAACAATGAGTGTTTCGGAACCAGCAGTCTCATTTATAGCATCGACGAACGGCTTGCAGACACCATTGGGCAAAGCCATGACCCAGCAATCTATTTCCTTGTTTTCTGCCATCTTGCGTACGTCGTCCGGTGAAAGATTTTCGTACGTAATGTCGCGTTTAGTGTATCCAGTAAGCCTTTTACCAGCCAACTCCCGGGATGACACATGACGGAGGTCCATATTGGGATGCGAGTTGAGCATATCAATGAGTGCTTGCCCAGTATATCCTCGAGCTCCAATCAGAGCGACTTTGGAAGGCCAGTCCTTACTCTTGAACTTTTTGCCAAAAGGGGGATTTGGGTTTGTTGTAGTAGAGTTGTTACGCACTTGCGTTGCCAGCATGTGTTGCCCAAAAGCTGTACACCGCCTTGTTGGGTTCAGGGTGAACCTTGTGCTGGACGAGAATTGGCGGATTTGTTGCGTACTCCCCCCTGCACGAAGACTGGCAGCGTAGTCAGCGGCTCGGTGAAGCTGAGATTCTAGGTTGACATCTCCGAACATACGACGGCCATGTTGGGAGAACTCTTGCATCAATGCTACAGCTTCATTTGGGTCGTTCGGTCCCCAAAAGCACAAAAGCTCACCGGTGTGTCTAAAGGTACCGTCCGCCTTGTCGGCGAACCAGCCGAGATTTTCGTCATGCTCATCAACAGTCCACACCAGTTTTGGGTATTCAGTGCGTAGGTTCGAGAAGACGTTGTCTGAGATGTTTGCTAGCCACGCAGACTTTGTGACAGTAAATGTAGATAAATGAGCCATTGACGTATTGTCTGTGGGCGGGAAGACGATCGCGAGAGCCTCCATTCTGTCGTCAAAGAAAGCTTTGAATGGACGAGTCTTGAGGCTCTCGACATAACGGTCAACAACTGCTTCAGCATCCAGACCCTCTCTGTCTCGGAGCAGAGCAGTCTTTAATGTCTTGATATCATTGAAATCCTCGAAAGAAGTCGCGGTCGACAGCTTGTTCCCCTTACGAATTAGGGTTCCGGCACCAGTATGTGTGAAAAGCTCCCGTTCAAGATAGGATGGATGGATGATTGCGACACTCGAAGTCTTCGGCAGGTCGTCAAGTAACTGCTTCATCTCCTTAATTTTTAGCCGTGTGCCATGTCTAACCCACGGCTGGGTCATTAGACCCTCGTATTCTTCGTCAAGATTGATCGCCGAGATAAGCTTCCCAGTGTTGCCGTCGAACAGACCTCCTTTTTCCGAGAGATATACAATCTTCAGAGGCTCGAGAGCTCTCGCTAGCTCTCCAGCCACGACATCTGCATTGACATTGAGTATCTGGCCCTCGTGAGTTTCAGCCATTGACATCAGGATAGGTAGCTCTCTTGAAGCGATGGCGGCCTCAATTGGTCGGGTATCCACGCTGCTCACTTTACCGACGTATTGCCATTTCTCCTTATCCAGATAGTCCGCGTATAGACAGCCTGACGTGATCGGGCGTGCAAGCACACCATACTCCTGACGAAGTCTAAGAACCAAGTCCATATTGGCTTCAAGAAATAGTTTCCTTGCAATCCCAAGCGTTTTGGGGTCGGTAACACGGATTCCCTCTTCAAACTGAGGCTCAACACCAGCATCCTGGAGTATCTTGTTCAATTGGGGCCCTCCGCCATGTACAACTATAGGGTATAGTCCCATGACATAAAGACTTCTCAGCGCGCTGCATAGAACATCGACATGATCTGTGAGAATAGCACCTCCCACTTTGATCACAGCGAACTGTTGCGAGGATACAGATCTGAACTGCGACAAGTATTGTTCAATCTCTCTCTTCGAACTAACACTCTCGAGGATGTTTAGGATGGCTAGGCGAGCTGAAGTTTGCCCGAGATCGGCATTCTGCTTAATTGAGGAGCTGAGAAATCGCTTCTGGACGATCTGGTGTTGCGGTAGCGAGATAGCCGTCGAGCTTTTGACGGTTGTGTATTCAGCTCGTGGGAGGGATTGGGCAGTAGCTCTGAACGCATTGCGAGCTGCCGCTGGGACAGTCTTGGACCGGAGAGTGGACAGCATTGTAACGAGACTCTAAGTTGTCAATTGCAAGTTGAAGTTGACCCTGAGGAGCTGCATACCAGTATTTGGCTCAGAGTGCTTGGAACAACCAAATACGCCAATGTACAGACGGACTCACAGATATTATCTGATGATTGTACGCAGAAGCTCTCCTGACCTCCACCTCAAAGCAAAGACTTTGGGTGACGGGTGAGCGGAGAGTGCGCGTTGAGACTCGAGATTTGAATCAATAAGCTACAAAGATGGGCCCCGGTGGTGAGATATAAGTGCTGTGACTGGTATACCTGGCGTGAGAGCAATGGCTGTGTAGGTTTTTTTCTCGGTCGTCGGCAGGCCCACGGCCCGCCGTTATCGCAACTTCCTGGCGCCTCTCCACAAAGTCTTACCACCCCGCCGCTTGCTCTGATTGGGAAACACGCGGCATTATTTGCTTGCCCAAATCGTGAGCTCATAGCGCGTTTACTGCGAGAGATATCCTGTATATAGCGATAGCAGTTTTGATATTTTCGCATAACGCTCATCAGTCGTAGAGCTTAAGCATAGGCTTGTACACTTAGCCCTGCACATATTGGGGTGCATGCGTCACGCAAACCATCAACACTGACCGAGCCTTATTAGCGGCGATTGAAAGGCGCAATGGAACGTAACAATCTCTGTCTGACGATGATCGCATAGCACTGCTTCAGGAACGTTGTCGCGGTGGTCCCATCAGTTGAACGCTTCAGATCAAAATGGCGTGTACTGTATCTCATTCTTCCTGTCAGCCACAATTATCTGCCATGTATATAATTTCGACATCTTCTGCAATATCACAATGGACACTATGATACAATCATATGTGTAAGTGTCTGAGGAAGGGGTTGGGGGTGTGGATACGGGTCCCTATTAGTGTTGCTATTGGCACATGTCATAGAATTGATTGCATTCCCATTAAAATCATGAAATGGATACCGAGGATTGGGTACACATATTTTGGCTCGTAGTTTTACCACTACTACGGTCCCAGTCGAATGTGTGTGGCTGATAGAGAAACCCCCATATGCTCCTTTCGCCTAGGCCATAACGAGATATCCAAAGACCCCTTGGTGTGAGCTCTCGGGGTCTTTCAGGTCGTTGCCCTTCGCAAGCCGGTGAATAGGGGTAGGTAAGATACAGGTAGAGTACGACAACGATGAAAGTGACAGATAAGCCTCATTAATTCTTGCGAGTAGCCACAACTGAGGTGCGTTAGAATGTGAGTCACGCTCTGCAGTGAATGGCAATGCTTACCGGATGGAACGATGATGATGACAAGGAGAATGATGATACCGGCAATCAAGCACATTCTCATTTTCATGTCCTTCCACCACATCTGCTTTCGCACTCTGTTCGCGCCTCGGCGGAACCCTTGAGCTGAAACAGCGAGGTTGTCTGTCTTGTCTTGAAGGGTATCGAGGCGTGCCCCACGCTCTGAAACCTTGTTTATGTTATCGCGCATAATACCAACGGTGCTGTCGATTTCCTGGTGCAAAATTAGCTATTGCTCCTCGTATCATTCATTCATGGCATGGCTGCAAGGCGATCCCAGTCCAATATTGCTGATACATCTTGAGCGGGGTATATGTAAACAGAAACAAGATATAGTATGGTACAGTCCGTATGAATAGAGCTACAGCCCTTGGTTGATGTTGTACGCTGTTCAGATTGTGTTGTAACGTAAGATTGTCGAAAGGTATGTAGCACGCTTGATCCATCAAGGTGAGATGGTCCAAATGATACACCATATGTGAAGGAAGGTATTGAATCATCTAGAGATACTTACGGCCTGGAGCGCTGCAGTACGAGTGTTGCCGCCCTGCTGGCTTGCGCCGGTATTGTTGTTGCCTCCCGACGGGATGTAGGGGTCGTAAGGTTGCTCGCGGTCGGACATCGTGCTGGGATTATGTATTTCTGTAAAGTTTTTCGGGTTCGTGTACTATTCAGAGTGACTAGATATGATGCGCGGTGGAGTTGTTGCGGTTGTGATGATGGGATATGAAAGAAAGGCGCTGACGTTGGAGGTTGGGAAGATGTCGCTGTGCCTTGAATGGGTCTTGGTCTTATTTTAGGGTTGCTGCGACGCCTGCGCCCGGGCACGGTCATTACACAAGCTAGTCGAGACAGGTACCTTTCCATGTAAATTACTCACAACCAGTGCTGCTGAAATTTGGCCCTCCAACTGTACTCGTTGAACAGGGGCACTATCGTGAAAAGTAGTACTTGCAGAAACGTAGAATGTTACTGTCAGCTCCTGCTTGGTCAAGCATACTGACACAGACATCACGTGTATGTGGTAGCATTAGCTGCGCGAGCACTCCAATTTATGACAAAGCAACCTAGGCTCAGGGCCTCAGGCACAACAGCCTTTCTAAGCCAGGCTGGAGAGGTCGTCACTGTCTTCCGGCGTTGCTGAAGTGGCAAGGATATTAACACAGCCACAATGAATGCAGCAGTTCAGTGTTCCGCCCAGGACAGATAATTAATTAGCTTGGCCGCAGGTGTAAAGGAAGTACAGTAGAGTGAATTGCTTGCCTTAGTCCAGCAAGTCGTAGTAGTATTTGATTAATTACCTTTGGTATTATATTCTCTTTTAGGCTTACTAGCCCTCTATATTGGGTGGCGCTGCTTTGATCAGCTGCCAGATTAGGCGGGAACTGGAGAAAGGAGAACCTCCAGATTCCCATCTAAGCAAGATCCATCCCTCTACCTCTGTTCTCTTCTTTACAGATCCAACGACAAATCACGCTCCTTTATTACAACTACAACCAGCACATATCGCGAAATCTATACGGTCCTTGCTTAGGCTTGGCCGACTCACCCACTCTTCGGCCAACTTTCGTTCACCGGCCAACGACCGCGCGTCACCACCCACTTTGCCTTTGCGAACTCTTCACGGCTTCCATTCCTTACGCCAAGAAACAAACACTACGTCGACGCAAAATAGTTTCGCGTCTCGACGGACATCTTTCTGACGAATCATCGCGTTTGCGGGCGTGTGTTAGAGATATTCCCGAGTCGGCTGGTCCGCAGCGTTTCGACGAGACACCATACTGCGCATCTCGTTTCGCAACATAAGAAAGGCGAATTTTCACAACAATAATTGAACCCAGCTGGTAACATGAAGCTCTTCAGTCCAGAAGTGCTCGGTGCGGTTCTGTTTATTGCATCAACTGCCGACGCCATTTCGTTGACGATTGACAGCGCTGGTAAGAACCCCAGGATGCAGTGCTCTAGCAAAGATTCTTAAATTGATATGCTCGATACGCAGATTCGGTCAAGAGCGCCGCAGGCGCTGTCGCCAAGGGCCTTACCAGCTACTACACCGGATACCGACCTGGCGATGTACCCGGCAATCTCCCAGATCCCTATTACTGGTGGGAGGCTGGCGCCATGTTCAACGCCCTGATCGATTACTGGCATTACACCGGAGACGATCAATACAACGAAATCATATTTCAGGCTCTGTTGCATCAAACGGGAGAAGATGACGACTACATGCCTGTAAATCAAAGCCAGTCACTTGGTAATGATGATCAAGGGTTTTGGGGTATGGCTGCTATGAGTGCAGCCGAGCGTGGATTCAAAGACCCTCCAGCGGACCAGCCCCAATGGCTCGCCCTAGCTCAGGCCGTCTTCAACACTCAAGCGTCGCGTTGGGACACAACCACATGCGGTGGTGGTCTGAGGTGGCAAATTTTCACCTTCAACAACGGATACAACTATAAGAACACAATCTCGAATGGGTGCTTTTTCAACGTTGCTGCCCGTCTCGCCAGGTACACCGGTAACAACACGTATTCAGACTGGGCCGAGAAAACATGGGACTGGGTTCGTAGTATCAGCCTCTCTGACGACACTGTTCATTTCTTCGACGGGTCCGACGATTTGAAGAATTGTTCGGAAGTCAATCACATTCAGTGGACATACAACGCCGGGATCTTCATGCTTGGAGCTGCACACATGTACAATTACGTAAGTCGTTGATATACTGTGTACAAGCGCTGCACTAACTTCAGTAGACGGAGTCTGAAACGTGGAAGAGCCGTCTGGACGGAATTATCAAGGGTGTTAGCGTATTCCTTTCGCCAGACGCCAACAACGTCATTTATGAAGTTGCTTGTGAACCCCACAATACCTGCGACGAAGACCAGCGTTCTTTTAAAGCGTACCTCGCCCGCTGGATTGGGTCTACCATGCAAGTAGCTCCCTATACCCAGGAAACACTTATGCCCATCCTGCAGGCTTCAGCTGCGGCTGCCGCTAAAGTTTGTGCTGATGATGGAACATGTGGCCAGGTGTGGTACACAGGTACTGACGATGGACTCCGCGGAGTTGGTGAGCAGATGTCTGCACTGGAGGTGATGCAGAATTTGTTAGCACCAAGCTCTAGTCCACCTTTGACCAATACGACCGGTGGTACCAGTATCGGCAACCCTAATGCTGGCGCTGACAGCAAAGACTCGCCTATTGTATTCTCGCAGGTCACGGCTGGTGATAAGGCTGGTGCTGGATTCTTAACAACGCTCGTTCTCGTCGGAATACTTGCCGGGGCCTACTGGATGATCGCGTACTAAAACTGCGCTGGCGCGAATCTCTTTCTTTTATGCCATGAATCGGAACGAAGTTATCTTCTTGTCGCCGATAGTCAGTGGCGTCATGTTAATGCACCTATTTAGGGGCTTGCCAAACTTCAGTAGGGAACACAGGTATGGGCTGATCAGGCGAACCGGTTTGTATGTATGGCTTTGGATTACAATGACACGTGTACATGCTTGACAATCGTGAACTATGTGCAAACGGAACATATTTTGTCACGCTTGATCGAAGCTTTCCTACTACGATTCAAGCCCTTGAACGTTCCAAGAAGAACAGGTGCTCTGAATTGACTTAGCACGCTTCTTCGCTACGGCTGGCAAAGTCTCATGCAGTACTGACACACCGAATTGGATACGAAACCTTGATCAGCACATTCAAGGGCTTCCTGGTTCCAACTGAGCTAGCATCAGTGCCATCATGTACCTATTCAGTTCGAGACGCAACAGTTCGAAACGCAAGGTCTTCCAATATAGGGGGATTGGGCAGTCGTGCTTAGTCCTTACGTGGATCGTCGCTGCCTTTTCGATGGCCCACTGTACGTGGTCGGTTCAATCTCCTCTTTCACCTTCACACTCTATCAATATCCTTGTGTCGATTCTAGCTTTACCAGACGTTTCCAGTTACCTCTAGCTACACTCAGGTGGAAGCTACACTCAGGTGGAAATATGATCCATATTATTAATGGATTCCTCTCCTACATATTCAATTCCGTTAAAAACCTATCCATCACAGTACTTTACAACCCTAGGACTCGAACGTAATGTCGAACGGCAGCAACGTGATCTCGGCAGAACGCTTCGACGTATACATACCATTGATTCAAGTCTTGCTCAAGAGTATCAAAACCACGTCTCCCCGGATCAGCCCGAGATATCTCTCGCATCGTACAATGGTGTCGATGACCTCAAGACGTTGATGGAGCAAGTAAACTGTCTAGCTGAGCAAATGCCGCCTCGTATAGGCATTGGGAAGAATATTAAACTAAATTGGAAACGCCTTAAACACTGGAGGCTAGCTCGACATGCTAAGAAACAAGATGAGACGCTCAGGGTGATGAGGGCGAAGCTATGTAGGCTGAAGGCTAACGACGAGTCACTTTCAGGTAGCATCTCGCTTTTGAACGTCGCCTGCTAATGGCTGGTCCCTCTCACAAACACGCTAACGTCATCACAGACCCTCATGTCGACGGTATGGATGAACAAGAGCTGGTTCGCCTGATCAGAGACATCAGATCCCGAGCGGAGCAACCCATTGCACCAGTGGAAGCTAATAATGGCGTTAAATTTGATGCCCTGTTGGCTGCACAGCGTGCAGTATATAGACACCGAACACCGAACCATGCACGCCCACCAGAGTCTCATACGAACGCTGTAGCCCCTGCCACCCCGCGACGTACACAAGCCGTGGTTCACGCACCTCCATCGCACGCTCGGATAGCTGTGTTACACGCTCATCAAAACCATGCCGAGTTGCCAACCGATGCGCGGCCTGTTGTGGTCGATTTCAAGGCCGATTCCCAGACTGTGGCTCTCCTCTTTGCTACCATGCGGCTAGCAACGTTCCTGCTGTTGAGACTTCTGATGTGGTTCTGTGGAGGAGTTAGAGGAGCTGCAGAATGGTGTGAAATCAGTCTTACACCGCCAGTTCAGCAAGCAGGCTGTCCGCTGTTGCAGAAAAACCAAGATAGTAGTCTACATAATATAAGCTCATAGAGATTATATATTCAATGCGGTAGTATACTATTAAAATACTATTGGGTAAGATGCCTTGGGGTCTTACATTACTATAGGTCATGTGGGTATAAATATCAACTAGCAACAGGTACGCTTGAATTTTAAGAAGCGATACGAGTAAACTAAAAACTCTTAGGTGGCACGTTAGTCGGAGAAACCCTTTTGGAACAACAGCTGAGTCCATCGGCTATGGATATGGCATATTCGAGTTCACTGCTGACATTAATCGAGGCTGCCATGTCCCCAAAGATAGTCCCCTGCTTGTAAAGTCCGATGACTGGGATGTTGACGCTACTGTAATTACACGTCAAGCTATGATAGATAGAGAACAAATGGAAATGTATCATACTTCTGCCACTAGCTGTAGATACGGATGAAGCAGTGCTTCAGAGGCTGTGGGTCTTTTAATAGGATCCACAATTAGTATGAACTCAATGAAATCCAAGAGTTCCTTCAAGATCGGAGGGTCAGGAATTGACTCCAACTCTTCTCGCCAATGGCGTCTAGTGATAAGCTTCATAGTACCGTGAGGGTGGTCCATTATCGCCAATTGTTTTGCGAACTCAAACTCATCTTTGTAAGCCTGATTTTCAATAGGTTCACCCAGAGGTCCTACGAGGCGGATGATCTTCGCAATACACCATGCTTCAGTTTCACCTTCTATTATCTTGTCACCTGCACCGAACAGGGGAAGTCCCGATAATTTAGTCGTCAGCTACTACATTAGCAACTTTTCAGATACGCAGGCACTATTGCTTACAGTAGCCCCAACTGACCAGACATCTGAAGAGTGCTGACATGGATGACCCCGCCAGATCTCCGGCGCTCGACACGGTAGACTTTGTAGACGCTGTTGTGCAACACCGGCCCTGATTGCTGTTCGCGTCAAAGCCTGATCCATGCATAGGCCATGTTCTTACCGTTTCCTAAATCTCCCAATTTAACGATCGGGTCACTGCTGTCGACGCCAGTAACATAAATGTTATTTGGATTGACGTCTGACTGAATCAGCACAGCTTCATGGACTTAACGACATAACGACCGGCCTGTATGAACGGCATTGACCGTCTTGAAAGCCTGCAGGGCCGACAGGACCGCCCTTGACACAAACTTTGGCAGGTTCAAATTGCTTCTAAGCGTAGGCGCAGGTATAGATCGTAAGTCTTGGTCCGTCCATTCAAATACTAAGCATGGTGGGTCCTCTCCGTGCTCATTCAATTGTATAGTGTCATACATCGCTCGAATATATGGACTGCTCGCAATTTCGGAAACCGTATAGTTACGGTGCTCTCGTCTTAGACACATTTTCTCCACGGCAGTGTTTGCGGTCTTAACGATAGCCCTTCAATGATAGTGAGCATGAACTTGGTAATCGTGAAGTTCTATAGTCTTACCATTGTGCTTGTGTCGAAGGGCTAGATAATATCCTAGCCTTGAAGACAGTGGAGCCTTTCAGTGGATGTAATAGTTTATACACTCCTTTCGCCCCTTGGAGGGTTTGCCCTGTCCGCAGCGTCATGACTTAAGGAGTGATGGAGGAAGAATAGAACCAGGTCTTGAACTAGAGCGACTGAATCCCTGCATTTATACACTGGGTCATCTATATTCCGTGATATATCTATACTACTACTAACAGACCCACTTACTATACTATTAAAGTACTTTATTAGAAAGGGTACTATAATAGACCTAGATAGATTATTCTAGTCTACTTAAGTCTTAAGTAGATTAGATTAGCTAGGTTAAGTAGAGTTACTATATAAGTATAATATAAGGTTTTAAAAGGTATATATAATAATAATATTCTTAGAAGGTAGTTATTAGAATAGATACTAGAATAGACTTAACTAGACTACTATAGTCTAGTATAGTCTTATAATAGATAGACCTAGATTAAGTTAGCTAGACTAAGTAAGACTACTATATAAGTAGACTATATAAATCTAATTTCTACTTCTTAGAAATTAATCTTATTATAAGAGTAGACTACCCTTCTAAATATATTCTTATATTCTTCTATAACTTATTAGACTACTATTCTATATCTATAATTCTTATATTTTAATTTCTCTTTATAATAGTAGCTTATAGAAATAGCTTTAACTTTAACTATAATATATATAAGAAGAAGACTCTTACTTCTTTATACTCTAAGAGACTAAAACTAGTTAATTTAGAGTAATATAGTAATCTATATATATTAATTAATAGAGTATACTAAGTATAATAACCTCTAATATATATATATATATATATAGTATACTAAATATAATAATACTAATATATAGAGATATTATATATATATACTTAAAAACTCTTTAGAGATATAAGTATAGACTACTACTAGTAAATACTAATATACTAACTCTCTTTTTTATTAGTTAAGAATAGCCCTTAATTAATAACTATAGAGGTCTTAGATACTAATATACTCTAGCTTCTATTAGATATATCTCTAATACTAATATAGTAGAAATAGCTATATAGTAGAATATTCTAGAATAATTAAATCTCTATCTTAAAGACTATAAATAATTAAAAAATATAAGAATATAGATAGTTATAAGGAGTACTAAATAGATTATAAGTCGAATAATAATCTATATATATTAATTAATAGAGTATACCAAGTATAATAATCTCTAATATATATATATATATATAGTATATAAGTGTCAGGCACGTGAGGAGCACGTGGCCTGCTAGTTGATTATACATGTGTGTAGCAGTCGTATATAAGCAGTGTGCTCCACCCTTGAAGTAGTAGCTTTAAGATTCGGTCCTTTTGGTATAGTTGGTTGGTGCGTAGAGCCCGTCTCCTTACAATAAGACGTAATAATACTAATATATAGAGATACTATATATATATACTTAAAAACTCTTTAAAGATATAAGTATAGACTACTACTACTAAACGCTAATATACTAACCCCCTTTTATTAGTTAAGGATAGCCCTTAACTAATAACTATAGAGGTCTTAGATATCGATATACCCTAGCTTTCGCTAGATATATCTCTAATCCTAGTATAGTAGAAACGGCTATATAGTAGAATATTCTAGAATAATTAAACCCCTATCTAAAAAGTAATAAATAAGAATATAAAGTACTATAGATAAAGAAGAAAGAGAGAACTCTATCTAGAGATACTCTTCTAGATAAAATTAACTACTAGATAGTATATATAGAGAGGGAGGTTAAGAAAGATAAGACTACCCTTCTTAGTATCTTCTAGAGTCTAGTCTAGAATATTAAGAAGCTTACTATAAGAGTAAAATAAATACTAGAGATAAGTCTAGAATTAAGGTTAGACTAAATTAAGGCTAGCCTACTAAGAATCTAGAAAGGCCTTACCTAGAAAAAACGTCTATCTATCTAGGCCTAAGTTATAGTATTACTAGATAGTATAACTAGAATAATCTAAATACTAAGAATATCTATAGAAGAAGTATATAGTATATAGATTACTATCTAGAATAAGAAAGTTCTTATATAGGTCTAAAAGGTATCTCTAAAGGATATTATTAATAAGATTAATAAATAAAAAGAGATATAGTTAAATATAGTTATAGCTAAACTTACTCTAGAAGGTATAATATTAACTACTACTACTAATATAGTCTAGTAGACTATCTTCTATAACCTAAATATAATTAATAATATCTTTTCTAGTATCTCTATCTATACTAATATATATCTAATATAGATATATATAGTCTCTATCTAGGGATATATTATTAGTACTAATAATATTAAGTAAATAGAATAATCTAATAAATAGAAGTACCCTAGAATTAAGATTATAAAGGTATAGTAGAAGAATATATAAGGGATTAAGGTAAAATTAAAAAAGTACTCTACTATAATAGTAGAGCTCTAAGACTCTACTCTTATCTATTAGATTATATAGAAAGACTTCTTAGCTAATAGGGAGTTACTTATAGTAGAACTATAGAATAAGGCTTAGATAATAATCTAATACTTTAACTATTAGAGATATAGATATATAGAATAGAGATACTCTTAGAAGACTATCTATAGATAGTACTAATAGAACTATAGTATCTAGGAATACCTATATAAAGTCTAAGGGGACTATATATATAATAAAGATACTACTAAGTACTCTAACTATAATAGAAATTATCTATTATAGTTAGTAATATATATAATATAAAATATAAATAAGTTACTAAGTATATTAATACTATAAAGGTAAGAGAAGTAAGATAGATATAATAGACTATAAGACCTCTACTATCTATTCTAACTATATCTATAAATATACTAACTAACTTATAAGAAGACGGGACTAATATATAATAGTATACTATATAGAGGAAGATAGGGTAACCCTAGAGTATTCTTAAGGTAGCTACTATATAGAGATAGTCATGTCTTAATACTACTAGTATATAGACTTAAGCGTTCCCTAGTATCTAATAAGAAGCTAAGATATATTTATTATTATACTAGGGTGGCCTACGGCCGGTAGACTACGTGTAGTCTTAATTTAAGGTACTAAGGTACTAAGGTACGCTGGAAAATCCACGGCTAAGACGTGTAAATTTTTAAGCTACTACTAAACGCAATACTAGAGACTTATAAACCTATCTTATCTATAAGTATAGCCCTATAGAGGGTAAAAAGTATATAAAAATACTTATCGTAGATAGGGCTATAAAACTAGAGACTAGATTTTTAAATTAGGGCCTAGTTAATTTAATATATTATAAAAGGTAGATTTTTTATCATGATTCTAGTGAGGGCGCTAGCGGGCGCTAGATAAAACATTATATCTTTTTATAATTCCTTTGGAATAGGCGAATATATAATATAAATAAGCAAACTAGGCTATACTTCTAGAAGAGATAGATACTATAATAATAGCTATCTAGAAGCTATATTATAAGAAGATAGACTCTATATACTAACTAACTATACTAAAAGGACCGAATCTTAAAGCTACTACTTCAAGGGTGGAGTACACTACTTATATATAACTACTATATACATGTAATCGACTAGTAGACTACGTGCTTCTCACGTATCTAATAATATCTCCCCTTTTTAAAGGCGCGTGTCCTTATATATCGTAGGCATGTTACCTTATAAAAGATAAACTAAACTAGCCGTAATAGGCCTAGTATAAACTATATATACACCTAATTAATATTTATAGTACCGCCTCTAGTACTAGACACGCTAACTTACTATAGTAACGTTACTACTATGTTATCTATTATATATAGAGTACGTAATATAGTAAGCTAAATAGAATTATATAAAATTTAATAATAGTTAACTAGACCAAGAGTTAAACCCGTAACCCTATAGTAGCTTTAAGATTATATAAGAAGATAGACTCTATATACTAACTAACTATACTAAAAGGACCGAATCTTAAAGCTACTACTTTAAGGGTGGAGTACACTACTTATATATAACTACTATATACATGTAATTAACTAGTAGGCCACGTGCTCCTTACGTATCTAATAATATCTCCCCTTTTTAAAGGCGTGTATTCTTATATATTATAGGTATGTTACCTTACAAAAGATAAACTAAACTAGCCGTAACGGGCCTAGTATAAACCATGTACACACCTAATTAATATTCGTAGTACCGCCTCTAGTACTAGACACGCTAACTTACCGTAGTAATATTACTACTATATTATTTATTACATATAGAGCACGTAACGTAGTAAGCTAAATAGAATTATATAAAATTTAATAATAGTTAACTAGACCGAGAGTTAAACCCGTAACTCTATAGTAGCTTTAAGATTATATAAGAAGGTAGACTCTATATACTAACTAACTATACTAAAAGGACCGAATCTTAAAGCTACTACTTTAAGGATGGAGTACACTACTTATATATAACTACTATATACATGTAATTAACTAGTAGGCCACGTGCTTCTTACGTGCCTAATATATATAAATACTACTAAACTAATAAACTAATAATATACCTAGAATACTATACTATCTACCCCCTAGACCTAGATAGAAGAGTTCTATTCTATATATATAAATCTATTCTACTCTTAGAATAGTTCTATATAGAATAGAATAACCTCTAGATAATACTATATCTCTAGATAGAAATAGGGCCTCTCTATATCTATAATATCTATAACTAGAGAGAATTACTTATACTAGATACTATACTAGAGAGTATTATAGAACTAGAATAATATATTCTTCTAGATAACTTTAACCTCTACTATAGATAGTAGGGAGGCCTAATAGTTATTAGGGAAGAGCTTAGAGTAAGGGAACTATATATAAGATACTATAACCTTCTATATCTTCTTATACTAGTTAGATAAATTATATAGAGGAAATATAAGAAGGATAAGAAGAGATCTATACTTAACCTTACCCTTACTACGGAATATATAAGCTATAGAGTATAATATTACTACTCTAGTAAGATATAGATAGACTCTAACTATAAATATATAGAGACTATAATAGATATATCTATATCTAATAAATAATAGAAGAGATAGCTATAGAAAG